CCATCGCCAACTTCACCTTGTACAACGAGGACCCCAAGGCCGCGATTATCGGAACTTACGAGAAGCTGGGCACTCCCGCTCTAGGAGACTTGAACCTCGACGACTTTGCCATTCTGTTCATGGTCTACGACGGTGACAAGGCCGGCGCAGAGAAGGCCTTTGCCAACTTCACCTCGATTCCCCACCTGCTCAACACTCTGGGCACCAAGACGTACAAGGAGGTGATCAACATGCCCTTGCCCAACGGCGCCGAGCTGTCCAAGGGCAAGAACCAGTTCCGCAACGGCGTGTACCGCATCCCATTCCCTTGAAGCGAGACCGGAAACGCCGTGGTCGACAACGCCTATCGCTCCGCCCACGAGGCCTGGACAAAATGGGGCGCTGACAACAAGGGCAAGTACACGCTCTTGTCGATTGACTACCAACCCATCCCTAAGAGTCTTACCGACGCGTCGAAGAGCCAGAACGGCGGCAATGCGATGCAGATGCCCGATGGACCTTGGCTGTGGCTTTGCTTCCTTCTGCAGTCCAGCCCGTTCCTCACCAGTGGCCAGACCGCCGAGCTCGAGGCTAGCTTCAAGAAGATGGTTGAGAGTGTGCCATTTGCCGACGACCTGCCGCTGTTCATCAATGATGCGCATTACGACCAAGATCCCCTGAAGACCTTCACCACCTACAGCAAGTTGCAGGAGATCAAGGCCAAGTACGATCCTGAAGGGTTCTTTTCCAACTACACTGGTGGCTGGAACTTTGACTTGTAGAATAAGAAGTTGCATATGGGAGTGAGCGCTGAACTTTACTTTCCGCCCACGTTGGCTTTCATTCTATTGGATACATATTTTGAGGAAGTTTCCATAGTCCTAGCCCTAAAGAGTGGGGGTACTGATTAGGAAAAACTTACGCAATATCTTTCGAGTACATAGTATAAATCAGAAAACGTTTCCTTCAATCTGCTGGGAACTCGCCTCTTTACTACAGTAGTCGCGCTCGTGAATGTTGCTACTCCGTTCAACTCGTGGACTAATAATACGCTGTTGACATTCGCTTGGCTTTCGAGCTTGAGCGCTTCGTGTCTGAGGTGCAGTGAAAGCCCGAGAAGCTTTTGTCATTGAACGCGGTTAATCTTAGTGGACGCGATCATTCTCGAACGTCGTGCAGCTGTGCTTTCTACAGGCAATGACAGTATCGTAAAGCTCGGATGATTGCTTGAACCCCAGGAAAGTTGCTTCTTATTTTCAAACACAACCAATCGCGTCTATTCTTGAGCTAGGTTCACCATAGTACGGTTCGTCTGATTAAAGCCATCATTAAACTTCCGCACCACGAGGCTACTTAGCAATCTCCGCGAAATTCTAGCGGTGTCAAGCACACCGCAACTCTAATCCACGTCACGTCACTAGAAGAATCTAGATTTGCGAACCGAATGCGAAGTGCCAAAGTAAAATGAGTCGTACTAGTCGGCTTGTGTACTTCGATGTCGGGGAGGGCTGCACACGACTCGCTCTTCATCTTCAACTGACAACCACGTGTATTATCTTATCAACATCTCGGTCTACTCGCTTCAAACAGTAACATAGTTCCGTGTACCTCCCACCTGACGTCTTCGAAAGCCTCCCTGAGCGGCCCGACAAAGCTCTCCATGTCATCCTCTGTGTTCCCAAAAACCCCAAATAAATTGTGCCAGAACATGAGGGCCTTGCCCATAGAGTTGTGTTTGACACCCTTCCCCAGAATTGTGACGCCGAAGAGCTTGCCGTCAGGAGTCAAAAGACTCTTCAATCGAATCAGGGCCTGCGCCTTCCTGGCCGGGGGACCCGGCACGCAGTGAATCAGCATCATGACTGAGATGGCGTCGAACTTGGCACCATTGAAGTCTTCACACGAGAGTCCCCGGGCTAAAGGATCCAAGAAGTCCCCTATTGAGGTTTTGCAGGTGACATGTGGGTGCATCTCGAGCGTGCGTGATGAGGCGGCGTGTAGAGCCGAGGGGTTCAGGTCTACCAGGGTAACTTGAGTGCCCTCTGGTATCGGCGCGTGTTTGATAAAGTATCCGGTTCCTACTCCAATGTCGAGTATTCGGCATGGTGAGGAGCCCGACTTGGAGAGACTGCTTTGTTGCTGAGAAAATCGAGACCTTGAGCGAGCACCGGCACTGGTGATGTGGCCGTTGAAAAAGCCCCGTAATCTTTTCGATGATATTTGCCATGCACATGGGCAATAGAAGCCTAGGACGAGAGGATCGTAGACGTAACGAAGAATAACGGGAACGTAGATTGCCGCTCCTGCGGATGTGTCCTTCAGAGCCATGGCTACACTCGTAAAGAAATAAAGTGGCTGGATCAAAGGTCGATTTCAGAAGTCGCAGTGTGTATGGATTGAATTGATATTATCTTGGTTATTCAGTAAATATATTTCAACAGTATCGTTACTTGAGCCACTTCGTCGGGGACCTTGTACGATCGGGGAGCTACTGAGACGTAGTTCGGGCGGCTAACGGCACCGGTGATACATCGATTCAACTACGTCCGTCTGCCAATCAAAATCTTACTTTGCCGACAACAGATGGAATTGGGACCACTAGTAGACGTTACAGATGTCAAGAAGTTGTCAGGCGGCTGGTTTGAGGCGAGTCGTCAGCCCGGCCGCGTCCCCGATGCCTGCAGCCTGTCCCGAGACGCCATCGTTGCAGCGGTCGCCTCCGCGACTTCAAAAAGCTTTGCGGCACAGAAATAAGATTCATCGGGTACTTCCGTAGCTCGTGATAAACAGATACGATAGGTGAGCTTCTGCGGACCTTAGATGGGACGAGTTGAGTCAGTGCGAAACACAGATCAGAACAAGCGCGTCTATCAAGACCGAGCCGAGGTCAAGGTCCGTTAACACCGGATGGTGACGCCGAATGCGATTGTAGCTTGCCAAAGCTTGACCAGAACTTCTGCTCATGTACACCGGTCTGGTTAGTTGTAGGGCTGAATGCGAATGCATGCGAGATTACGAGGTCATCGGCTTCGTATGGTAAGCGTAGGTTGGAGTTGTCATGTGACACGCGAGACAACCTACTGCAAGTGAGAAGTCGCCTTGCCTCAAGCGGAAACGCACGGACAAGGTGGAAACAGCTAAGACCGAGCAGGTTGTGCGAGGTCATCGTGAATATGCCCTTTGAATGCGAGAATATTGCGCGGGAACAGGCAGGAAAATATCGCATACCGAAATGATCTTCAAGGCTGAATGACAGTACGAACAGTTCGGACTTTTGTCCTGCTCCGTAAAAGTGTTTATTGGAGCCTCCCAGATGCGAGCTTTTCAAACATCGAAGTTTGCTGCCACCCTGATAACTCTTCGTAATAATCTTCAGCAGCATTCGGCGCAAACACGCCTGTGTCGGACTTGGTCACCTCTATTGGTATCATGGCTTGTAATACTTAGAACACGCCGACTGGTCTCGTCGTCACCAATGGCGAAGACGTCCGGAACGATGGTCATTCTGAATCGAGCAAGACACGCACTATCGCCATTTCACCTTGAGTTGTTCTTACCTGTCAGGAGCTTTTGGGTTTTCTCTGGATATCAGTGAAGTATGAAAATAATTAGTAGAAGGAACAATGACGGAGAAGCTTGGTGTCAATTTGAGTTTTCCGCTCGAAATCTAGTGTTCGACAAGAGTTGTCTTTCTGGTTCCAGTCTTAACCAAGGCGCATCGACCCTGTCCAACGATTGAGCGCAGAGCAGCCCTAAGTTCATATATACCTGCGGTGTACTTGAGGTTCCCTCAATGTACCTCCCCAATCTCGGGCTCAGGTTCTAGTAAGGTAGCCCTATTGAGATTGGGATAAGAGCTAGTTTCCGTGATTCCCCATCCGGCTTCTAATTGACTCTGCCATTCTAGTTAACTGAGCTTGCCGTATTTGCAAAACCATCTCCCTGGCCTCCTCATAGTTGTGTCGGTTGAGTTCGAAAGGCGGGCACACCAAATGCACTACCTTGGCGTTAAAGTGAACAACTTCTTCCATGAAATCGCCGGAATACCAAAACCGCAGCTGCTCATCCCAGTCTCTGCACCAGTCCTCCTCCTGTTCGTCTGGCGCTGTCTCATGGTAAAGAATGGTGACAGTCTGTAAACCATCCATCTCGCGTAGCCAGCGCTCATGGTAATACCAAAAATGCTCGACGCACTGGCCGGAGATAACGAGCTGACGAATGGAAGAGCCCTCTTCTGTTGCAGCAAGATCTTTGAGATGATACTGATCTATGTAGATACTGTCGATCTCAAAATTGACCCAAACATATCTCTTTGGGTCTTTCCGCGTTTGGAATGCCTTTGCATAGTGACGCTGAAGATATGTCCTGGATTCGTTGCAGGCTTGTAGGGCAGGCGGTGTTGGCGCCGGCGTTGGCCATGAAATTTTGAAATAAGGGCGAGGCTTGGGACCGTATGGAAGATCTCTTGGTTTCATGCTCAACTCCCATATACGTTGGCGTATTTCAAGAGGAAGCAAGTGAAAGAGGTGGAAAGTGGACATTGTCGGTGATTGTTTGGGCTGCTCCGCTAGAAAATCCGTCTCAAGTGCGAAGCCACAGGACGAGAGTTGGCTGAGACCTAACACTGAGAACAGTGAAACCAAGTGTTTGCGGAGGAGAGGTTGTAATTTGGAATCCACAACATCGGTGGCTATTCAATCTTAAATATCTTAATGTTTCATGCCCAAAGCCGTGTAGAGACCTGGAAAAAAAAAACCTGTCAGAGGCGCTGTTGTTGACACGGATGCCAACGCCGCTAAACTCCCGATTAGGCCGGTGCGGCAGATTTCCAGGGTTTGGCGTTGGCTTCAATCTCGGCCAAGGAGCTTGATTTGTCCTTAGCCGGGTAGCCCCTAGTCAAGATTTGGCCTCAATGAGTGGATACCTAGGCAGCTCTCCAACATCAACTCAGGAAAGAGGTATTTGGTGGTGATTACAAGACAAGACTTAGTTGAGACGGCTCAATATCGCGTCGATAACGTTTATCTCAGTTAGACCGGACTGGGCTCGTTTCAATTTCTTCATCTATTGCGAGCACATATTGAGGGAAACCTCAAGAGGCATATCTAAATTATAGGAGAAGCTTTTTTATTAAAATTCAGAGATGAGATCATGCTAAACCCTACGTGTTGTTGTTAGAACACACCATTCGACAAACATCGATTATTCAACGTGAAAGGTCCACGTGTAGTGCTAATGCCTAATTTTCCGTTTCCTTTTCTGTTGGCTTTCTTCCGTACAAGGAGTAGCTGATGATTCGTTAGCAAGTCAAATGTGAGCAGTGTCGTAACACCTACATAGGCCAGTAGGCATGGATTGACCTGTCCCTCAAATCTTTTCTCACGGTTGCCAGGAAGACAATGACTTCCTCACGCGTCCAGCCATGGGCGCGAGTGAAGGGCGCCATACAGAATCCTTCGAAGCCTTCGCAAAAGTTCTCGTTGTTCCACATTCCTAGTTCCTTGTACTTGGGATCTTTCGGCCAACCATTCGACGGCCATTTGAAGATGTTCAGCTTTACATCAACATAGCCAAGATCCTCCATAACCCTGACAAGAGGAGGGATCTCCTGGTAGGGTCGTCCGAAGATAACCGAGGCCTCGTACATCAACTTGATGCATTTCGAGAGAGGGTCGTCATCCTTCAAGGTGCCATCGTCCGAGCGTGGGAAAAGATCCAGCTCTTGGAGCTCAACGTAACCGCCAGGTGTGAGGTGGCTGTAGTTATCATTAGCTCTCGACTTCCAATCGAATTCCTTGGGCTTGTCCGAGTGATCTCTGTGGAGGCGTACTCATAGGCTTTCTTTAGGTAACCCTTCCAGTCACCAATAGATGAGTTCATCATCCGACTGTGGATGTAGTCAAATGGTCGCGAGTACGTCCACTCTTCCTCCAAGTCATCGATTTCGAACTTGACGTTAGGTTGGACGCTTGTACATATTAGCAGTCAGTCGTTGGGAGTATACACTCATTTGATGAACTTACTACTCTGGCATTGAGGGGGACAGGTCCATTCCAAGAACCTGATGACAACGTGAGACTATGCATCCGAGAGAAGAAGAAGCCACGGATAACTACCTCGGCATCCTCGTGATCCTCGCCAAAGTCAACGGCCCAAATGCCGGTTCCCGTGCCCACATCTAGAACACGCCCAACTTTGGAACCCGGGTTGTTAGGAGGCGCGAGTCCAAGAGTGTTATCGAACGTCAGCAAAAAGAGATTGTGTTGGAGATCTGGATGCCCATGACTTAGCATGCATTAGCTCGTGTTCGGGGAAATCCCGCATCATACCAAGTCTGTCATTTTCTGTCTCATCATTGGGAATATTGTATTCTGCAGGCATCAGACACCGACCATTTTAGCTGACCTTCAACGCAACTCACTGCCATCTTTGTACTTGTGGTAAGTTCGGCCATTCTCGGTTCTGTACCCGAGAATGGAACTTGTCACGCTTGTGCTGGAGGACGCGACACTCTGCGGTGATGTTAGGATAACGAAGCTTGGCGATGAGAAGTGCAACTTACCTGGCCGAGCTCCGAAGCACCATCATCAGCTCCCTAAAAAGCCGAAAATAATCAGTAAAATGTCGATCAGAGAAGATATGCGAAGTATTGGCCACCTCTTCTGGGACGAGCTCAACGGGGTTGTTCGCCTGGACAGGGGCTTGGGCCGCAGGGGCGGCTGCCGCGCCAGCATTGTCACCGCACATTTTGCACTAAATGTTGACGACTCGGTGTTTGAAGTGAGAAAAGAGACGAGAAAGAAATGTGCGTGATTCTTCAGTTCTTGTTGTTTTTGAAAGGTGGGCACATTTTGTTACCCCTCTTCTTGGCCAGGGAGTGTTATGCACGTTGGCGGCAAACAAACCATTTGGGGTGTTGTCCGTGGATACTGCATTTTCCAGAACAGGATACGACGCGCGTATCAGGTAGCATTGATTGAACAGATATCACTTCTCTTAAGATTATCATCCTATGTACTGTGTCAATTGGTGGTTGGTAGCTGTTTGTCGGGTACATCAGCCGGGGGTAAGTCGGTTCTAGTTGATGGTTCCAACAGAACCATGCAAGGTGACGGTTCGAGGAACCCCGGACTCAGACCCATCGACAAAGGAAACCCTGTCACCTAAGCCTTCACAAACGGTGTCTTGACTCGGCCGAAAAATGGCTCGTACGTTGGGCACCATCCATCGACGGTGGCAGATGCGATGAGATTCAGCTCGCCGCTTTCTCCCGTGCAGCCAATGCATGCAATATTGTTACCATCTGCGTCCACCCTTTCCCAGCCGGGGCCTTTGCCTGAAGGGTCCTTGATAAATCCTGCCCACAGCTTTTGCAAATACCGACTGAGTTCTCTTTGGTAATCTATAGCACCATCTTGAGGGTAAGTACCCCAGATCATGGCCGTGTCCGTTCCATGGGATGCGCCCAGCTCGTCAGAAGTGTAGCCCTCGGCAGCAAGATTCGGAAACGAGGCATTGTAAAAATACCTCCAGGTCGGAATATTGCTCTGAGAGGAAACACGAGAGACAAGGAGAGCGGGCTTCAAAGGGGTCTTGGTTAGTAACGGATGAGAGAACTAATGAGCAAAAGGATCAAGACTCACGCATTGATAGACCACTTCAGTATAGACTTGAGCAGCAGCACCAAACAGCGAAATACCCGTCATCTGTTGTTTGACGGCAACAATCTGCATAATAGCGGATATGAGGTCTGAGTCGTTGCCAGTGAATACGCCAATGACTTGCATAAGCATCTCTTCAGTGACAGCCGAAAGATTCAGGCCATAAGCAGGAGCCAAGTAAGTTCCCTCCTGACCTGTCGAGCCGATCAACAGTGGGACCGGAGCAACACCTCCAGAGGCTCGAATCGGAAGGTATGGAAGCTCCTTTTGGGTGATATTGTCGTTCACCGGGCTGAAGTCCAGACCGTTCGCAACGATTAAGTCTCGGATGGTCTTGCCGTCGACTGCACGCACGCACCCGATCTGGTCTTCGCCGGTGCATCCAAGAAGAGACACAAGGGCAGCCCATGATAGTGGGCCAGACTCCCGACCAATTGCGCTTACTGTAGCCTGGCCGCTCGAACATGCCGCCGCGCGGAATGGAGGATTGGAGTGAATGGTAGTGACGAGACGGTCGACTGAAGATCCGCCCGAGGACTCTCCGGCTATCGTGACTTTCGATGGATCTCCGCCGAACGCATTTATGTTCTCTTGGACCCATTGGAGGGCCATTCGCTGATCCAAAAAGCCGAGATTTTCTTCTTCCAGGGGTAGTTGAGGAGAATTTGGGAAGCCAAATACTGTATCTCATGGTTAGCAGGCTACCTCGAGAACGGAATCATCCAACACACCATTGAGACGATAGTTGAAAGTCACAACAACTATGCCCTGCTCGGCGGCGAATCTGGATCCGTCAAACATGGGCTGGCTGGCTGTGCCCTCCCGCAACCATCCGCCATGGATCCACACAAGAACCGGCCGACCCGAGCTGTGACATCCCGCTCCAGCTGGTGTGTACACGTTCAAGAACAAACAGTCTTCGCTTTCAGGAGGCCCATCACTACCTGATTTTGTCAGCTCACGATTCACGAATTGTATAATGCCACTCACTTCCAGTGACAGCAATGCACTTGTTCCCCCACGCTGTAGCATTCAGCGGGTTTTCATCATGCTTCAGCAGGGCTTTTGGAGAGAGAAATCGATTTTCTTCGACAGGCGCCTGCGCGAAAGGTATGCCGAGAAATTTATGCACCAAGGCCGTGGTAGATGGCAATGATGTTGTTGTACCGATGATTGTACCAGCATCGATGACAATCGACGGTGATGGATCAACCTGACCAGCAACACTAGTGCAAAAGAGCAAGGTAAGAGTCAACCCAAATGTCAACATCTCGTCAAATTTCAATGATTTGATATTGAGGGAGATGTTCAATCATTTCCATTTCAGTCTCTTGCTTGGCTTTTATGGGTTCTTGTTTATTTTAAGGCCACAGCTCAATGCTTCACAGAGGCGTAAAGAACGGAACTCGGCCCTGAAGCAAGCCAGCCGCCGGAAGAGCGTCCCGTCGGAACACTTGCATCCCGAATTCAATCAAAGCTTTTGCCAGAAATGACGCGTAATTGGCTAGCTGATTGACGGAAGTTCTCTTTGCTTTCCGGAGAGTCTGCTGTGCCCTCGTAGTGCAGCTTGCAATCAGCACAGAGACAGTTAGCGTTGGTGAGGAATGGGACTAGCTGCAGTGTTTATCCAACCGAAACGGACCAGGTGCGTTGTTGAAAGTACCCTCCAACCACAAGAGCCTGTAGAAACTACTACTCTTTTCAAGTCTTTCGATGATTCAACCCTGGGGCTTCTTGCAACCCTGTCCGTTTGGTTTCCCGCCCAGTTTATTTGGATTCTTACGGAAACAAAAGATTGGCCAGCGAGTTCCATTTAAATTTTGCGTTAGATCGGTGGTATTCCCCTGTATGCACTGACCGGGCTAGTTGCTTTGGGGTGAAGAGTCTCAGTCACCATGAGTGTCAAGATTGAAGCGCAACACACATTGAGTAAGAGTTGAGTACTTCAATTCATCAAGAAGTCCCCCCTCCCCTAATCTTTCCTGCATGAAGTCGCCCCGATAGCCGCATTTCTATCTCCATCGCGCCTGATATTGAGCGAGTCAAAGGCCTAATAAACGCCGGGGATCAAACGATAAGGGACGTTGGCTTTGATAGTCTTCCACGAATCACCATACTAAGTAAAGAAGGTGAGTAATGTGTTGAAGTCTTATGAAGACTAAGGTAGGGACTTACTCTCTCCGAAAGGTACTTATCGAGCACTGGGACACCTCGAGTGGCAAAATCGTAGAAGAAGAAGGTAAACACCGGAATGGCAACGGCCCAGCCGCCACAGGTGAAGGCATAGGCCGTACGCCAGATGGTGTAGCCACCGTAGTTAATATGCCTTGCAAGAGAAAACAAGCCACCGGCGTATGGCTTCCCTTTGTTGGCGGGGTTCTTCTTGAAAATCATGCGTTGCGTTTCCGAGGCCGTCTCTGTCAAAATTCCAATCAGGTAAAATGCGAGGCCGGTCGCGACTGCCGGAGACCCCAGTACCTCCGATAGAGTTGTGGCGCTGGACAACACAGATGTCGCGGTCCAGACAGACAGGCAGGTGTTGAGCGAGTTGAAGATCGTGTTGAAAAGTGCGATGATTACTGCCGATGATGGTGGCATGTCTTGTTCCGACATGGCGAGAGAGGTGTAGATCTGCTTGAAGCTGCTACCAAAAGCCATGAACGTGACGATGCCGTAGTAAGGATGTATTTGCGAAGTCGCTGGGTTGAGGACGATGTTCGACTTCAACGAAGTCCCGCCGATTAGTTCAATCAAATTCTTGGCCCAGCCGCGCTGAAGGAGAGCGTGCTGAAGCAAAACGTCTGCTGCGCGCAGGCCAACAAAAAGAGTTGTACCAATGGCATTGAATCTCTTGACGCGAGACACGTTGTCGTGCAAATCCTTCGCCATGGTTCATGGGCGTTCTGATGTTGATCTCAAAAGACGGCTGGAAGCTGGGTTGATGTGATCAATTCGCACTGATGAATGGGATGGAAAAGTTGCTTTCGTAGTCGAGAGGTCGCCGTCTCTATATTATTTCTGGTCCGAGAGTACGGTTTATCTGGGAGCGAAGATTATAAATCTCTTTCTGCCGGATTCCTTGGTCGTAATGAATTTGACGGTCGCAGAGATTCGGACAAGGAGCGTGGCTCTTGATATGTAAGCCGCTCGCAACCGGCCCCCGATTGTGATGGTGTAACTCGGAGATCATCGGACACCGATTTGCCGGGTCTGTGCCCGGGCAACTTTCTCAAGCTCCGCCCTGATCAGTCATGTTTAGACTTCATCTTTTCACAATTGGTTCGTAATTCTCTTGAAACGCAACTCTCAGTACAGTATGTTATCGTCGATGCTTCTCTTGCACGGTTTGATATTATATTGGTGGGTGCTGAGATAGCAAAGCACGATTTGGGTTGATTCAAACTGTTGGGATATTGTTTCCGGACAATCTTCACGTTACTGGAGACTGTGTATCGATGGGTACTACTGTCGCGCGGTGTATATTGCATCTGGAAGCCGCTGTTCATGTCAATCTCATAATCTTTTCGTCTTGATATGGGCGCCACGGTCCACCTATGGCAGTCGTCACGCAAAGTAGACCGCGGGCATCGAGGGGCATGGTCTACAAGAAGTACTGGTCCGTTCACCCTAGTATGCTCGTAATGTATCACCTGCACCTTTCTTATATTGAATGTTAAGAATTTACTTTGATAGAGATTCAAGTATCAAGGCCAGCTTTATTGTATTGATTAAGGTATTGCCAAAGAATGATTTCAATACTACTAGGTATTAAGCTGGAAGGTGCAGCCGAGTTCACCGCACTTGCTGTCTCTAGAGAGTTCCTTCCCTCACAGCCAACTCACCTTCCAGAATCCGCAACAATGGGTGCGACCACCGTCGCAAGATAGCCTAGCGGTGGATCGTATGCCTGGTTTTGGCAAAGCTCGATGGTTCGAGTTCTTTGGGTGGCTCTACATATCTCTGGTGGCCGGCCGCCCATTGTTTTTTCCTCTTTTTTTCTTTTTAGCTATTTTTCAACTCTCTAGTATTGATCTCTAAGGCTACTTCTACTTGCAAGCGCTGAAATCATATACCTACCCTTGGATCTAAAGACTGAGCCGCACTTGATGAAGTTGTATCTGAAGAATGCCTCACTTTCGATGGCATCGGTGCGCATCAGAATTGGACTCCATTCGACTGCGGATTCCTGCACGTGTTGGAACTCGGCACACTTCACCGGCACCCCATATCCCGACTACGCGAGCCTCCAATCGCCAGGGATAATCTGGATTCATATAATGATCATCTTCTCCTTCCTCTTGAGCTCACCTATGCCCCACATTTGGTCGCAATAAGGCAACTTCGCCGTCGATGCATGATGCATGTTCGCTTGTTGGTTCTTCACGCCAGGTCGTGCAAGCCAAGATGAGGGGCAACAGCCGATTGTCTGCCGACCCTGCCGCCCTCAAAAAAGCTTGGTTGTTTCAGTCACTCGTTCTGCAGAAACATCTTCAATCTTTCACCCACTTTGGAAAGAGCCTCAAGACAGAGCAATAAGCCATGGCGAACCCACATCAAGATGCTGAGCTTGTCCCCGACGACGAGGTGCGTGAGAACGCCTGAGTAGCCTGTCCCATACCTAACCATACGGCAGATCAGAAACGATGATAGCGAGGCGGACCTTCAGGTAAGTTCAGCTCTGGTTATTCATCCCCTTGGCCCAACTGACTGGAACGGAAAAGTCCCTCTATTCGGAGGTCACCAGTTTGAGAACCTCGATCTTAGAAAACCGCATCGAGAATGGGCGGTCGTATCACACATATAAAGATGGCAGTAGGTCCATACGAGACGGCTGAGTCCTGGCTTCGAAAATCTCTTACCAATGTTTGATAACCAGAATATGCCTGGCCCAATGATGCTGAAGAGAACGAGAGGCTTGGTGTGTTCTCTGTGAGCTGATGCACCTCGGATTCCACCTCGCTAAGTCAAGTTTCAGACATGCAAAACGAGATCTGCTTTCTCACATTCCACAACAAGTTGGGTTTCGCGCCCCCATGCGACCCAGACGCCAAAGGAGGCCGAGTTCTTGATCTGGGAACCGGAACTGGCTTGTGGGCCATCGAATACGCTGATGAGCATCCCGACGCTGAGGTGAGTCACGTCGGAAACCTACATTTCCACTAGTAATTTGCCTAACCGTCGCAACCTTCAGGTGCTTGGTGTGGACCTTTCTCCTATCCAGCCACGAGAGTACGTCCGCCTTACGCCGTCTTTTGCAGTGTACGCGCCTCTGAAACGGTGAGAAAACTGACTTCAATCCAAAGTGTTCCTCCCAATCTGAAGTTTGAGGTCGACGACGTCGAGGAAGATTGGCTGTACTCACAGAAGTTCGACTACATCCACCTCCGCTTTCTCAATGGGTCCATCGCCGACTGGAAGAAGCTATTCAAGAAGGCCTACGAGTGAGCTCTACATCCCCTCAGGCAGAAAGTCCACATGGGCTTCAGTCACCTTTCTCCTGCTTCGAAGCACACTGGATACAGTCCAGAAACCTCTAACCGCTCCATGTAGCTTTACCAAGCCAGGCGGCTACTTCGAGCTTCAAGAGAACGACTTCCTCTTCGCCTCCGACGATGGTACTCTCTCCCCAGAGAAACCCCTGGCCAAGTTCAGCTCCCTTGTCCGCGAAGCTTGCGTCAAGTTTGGTCGGCAATTCATCGACGTGCCTCTGATGGAGGACATGATGAAGGAGGTCGGCTTTCAGGATGTTGCGCTTCAGCGCTTCAAGTGGCCGTCGAACCCCTGGCCCAAAGACCCTCACTACAAGAAGATTGGGGAGTGGAACTACCACAACTTTGTGGCCGCTGCAGAAGCTCTGGCTATGGGACCGCTGACGCGCGCTCATGGATACACGAAGGAGGAGGTGGACGTCTTCCTCATTGACGTGCGCAAGAACATGAGGGACCCGAAAATTCACTCCTACCTGACCATGTAAGAACGCCGTAGCTTTCTCGGGTTTTTTGTTTTTTTTTTTTTTTTTTTTTTTTTTTCCCCGGAGCATTGGTGCGTTTGCTTTACTTTCTGGCTGACTGCAGCTCATAGATATACCCTGGTGGGAAGAAAGCCGCTGCATTCGTAGACATTATGCTCGGGTGATACACGGAGCAACGTCCAGGAGTTGGAGGAGATACTGCTGGAGTCTATTCATGGAAATTACAGAATCGAGCATGTAGAACAGCTCAGTATCGGCTGCGGGAATTGGTAAAATAACATTGAACCAAAGACCGCCAGCTCAAGTAATTCTCTTTCAAAACTTTATGAGATGTTTGGCTGTCAAACCCGCATGCCAGATCAGGGCATTCTTCCCTCGGTTGGGTGACGTACAGGATACTGAGATATAAGGTAAGGTAGAGAGAGAATACTCAGCAAACTCCAAACATGAGGAACGGAGCCCGATATTCAGGTACCTTGAAGGTCGAGTCTCTGACGTATGACGCATGATCAATGAGTTGGAAGCTCTGGCAATTTTTCTGTCCTAATCGTGAAGATCTGTAGTGACCAAAGAGCTAGAAGTGGCTCATCTGTGGCCCCGAAGTTTCGGTTTGAAACTCGCCAGCTTTAATAGTGGCAGACAAGGTACCTAAGACAATTGTGATCTCAGTGATGAACCAACTTCGCGGATTATCTGAATATCAAGGTCTCAACTCATAAGCATTGTGTCCTCAATATCAGGAAGATGTAGATGTGTGATGGGCAATTGTTGCGAGTCTTGGGGGATCCCAGAACATAAGGACTATGCCATTAAATGCCGCTGGTTCACAGTATAAAAGCCCTTAATTTTCCCTGATATGTCTCTGACTCCTCACAAACACGAAATTTGATGGTGCGAGAGTGTCGATATTCTCTGATTGACCCCGTGCGCTTCATACTGTAGTCCAGTAGAAGTCAAGAGGATAGAAGGGAAAGATTTTCGGAGTAATACTACTTACAGTCTCGTCCGCCACCTCTAAATCATGATTCTCACAAAATCAACACGAATAAACCATCAGAGAGAGACAGAGAGCTCAAGTTCTGTGTAGCCCACCGCGGGCTAAAGAAGACCAGGTGCCTTGATGCCTGTAGACCTGTAGCATCCATAAAATACGTTTAGCCCGCAACATTTGCGCCAGCAATCGGACCGCACAGAAAATGGATGAATTGCGGCTTGACACTGTCAAACAAAAAACACAAGCTGGAAGGCCTGCTTATAAAGGAACCTGGAAGGTTCACATCTACTAATCACTGCATATGTCTGGTAAATGCAATAGCTGTAACTTCTAGAGGCGTTCTTCCAAGGCACCCCAGACTTTCATAGATAGGTGGCGAGACTGGACAAGATCAGATCAAAAAAGCAAGCTTTATGATACATAGCACCAATGAATCACAGTTCACGGGTCTCTATTTACCCTAGTATTATGTGCGCATATAACTGGTGCCCGCAACGTACAGTGAAGCTTCAACCCATTCTCATCCTTTCCTTACACCTAACTAGTAGGAACTAGATTGGTTAATAACTCATATTATTCAGTCACAGGTAAAGCAGATCTCATCACATACTTATCCTTACCAGGGCTCACTATCGTTTTGAGAGTATCATGTCAAATAAACCGCTGAAGAATCTAAGCTGCATACCGACCTTGAGAATTGTGAGATTGCACACTACAGCGCTGGTGACACCATCCATCTCTGCAAAGAGGTGTCAGCGCGGTCTTCCTGAGTTCCTGGGCTGGCGGTATTGCTCCTGAGCCAAGCATTGTGCGTATTGTGACCGAGAAGATTCCCCTGTCTGCTGACTGAATTAAATATCAGTCGCAGGCCGCAGAGCAAAAGACAAAGAAGTCGCAGGCTCCTGCTTCCGCACTTGCTTTATTGAAAATATGCCAACCTTTGACCAAGCAACGGAACTTTGGGATCTCGTAGGGTATATATTGAGCGCCTGAGACCATTACTCAAGCTGAGAAACCACAATGAGCCCGGCTTTTCTTGAAGCCGACAAGCCAGGACCTAATTCAGCCTCTATGATGCCTTCATGCCATTTGGCAGTTTCCAGTAAACAAGAAAGCCACATCATGTGCCCAAGTTCTGTCCCTCATGATTCTTTTGTGGGTAATCACATCGAATCAACCGCCAGAGAACCCAGTGCTGTCCTAAATCTTTTGACCAAGACCACACATCTACACAGCATCGACCTCAGCAGGCTAAGCGAGTAACTGTAAGCCTTTTTGGTGCATCTGGTCTATGGAACCATCAAGAGGACGCATTGCCTGGTTCATCAAGTCATTCACGAGCTTCGCTTTTATGGAAGAAACGCATCTGTGGTTATTCGTTTCACAGCCTTCCTTCCTCGGGCCAGCCAGTTGCGACTCGCGACATATACTACCACGACAGTCAAATATTGAACAAGATTCAAACGTGATATATATGATATATAGAAAATAGCACTAGCAAACGCCTGCCCCCAATGCTGAAGCTTGACGGATATAAATAAAACACAACATTTTACAAAGATTTCTTTTCCCCCTTTCGTGACACATCTGCCTCGCACCAAAATCATCATCTTCTTTCATCTGTAAATCATTTACTCCTCATCCTCATCAGGGACCTATTGCATCATTGTTAGCAAATCATCAACTTAATCAGAGAAACATGTATCACTTACGCCCTCGTGGAAGTCCCGTCCCTCCTTCGTCGCGCGGATGACGCCGGCCCTCACGCAGAAGTCGCCAAACCTCTCGCCCTGCTCCCTCTCGAGCGCGTACCTCTTCAGCAGCGGCTTCATGATAGCGAGGATCTCGTCCTCCTTGATGCTCTGGCGGTACAGCTTGTTCAGGCGCTGGCCGTGGTATCCGCCGCCGAGGTACATGTTGTACGCGCCGTACGCCTTGCCGACGAAGGCGACCTCGGCCAGCCACGGGCGCGCGCAGCCGTTGGGGCAGCCCGTCATGCGCATCACGATCGAGTCCTGGCGCAGCCCGTTCTCCTCGAGGCAGTCCTCGAGCTTGCTGATGAGCACCGGCAGGTAGCGCTCCGACTCGGCCATCGCGAGGCCGCACGTCGGGAACGCCACGCACGCCGACGACGACAGCCGCAGCGCCGAGAACTGCACGTTGTCCAGCTTGTACTGCTTCATCAGCGCCTTGAGCCCGTCCATGTCCTCGTCCGCCACGTTGCTGAGGATCAGGTGCTGGTTGCCCGTCAGGCGGAACTCGCCCTTGTGCACCTTGGCAATCTCGCGCAGGCCCGTCTTCATCTGGAACTCGGGCGTGTCCTCGATGCGGCCGTTCTCGATGAAGAAGGTGAAGTGGTTGAGGCCGAACTCGTCCTTCTGCCAGCCGAACGTGTCGACGTTGCTCTGGAAGTGGAAAGGGCGCTCGGGCTCGAACTTGTGGCCCCAGAGCTCCTCGACCTTGCCGCGGAAGACGTCGAGGCCCATGTCGTCGATGGTGTACTTGAGACGCGCGTGCTTGCGGTTCTTGCGGTCGCCAAAGTCGCGCTGGACGAGCATGATCTTCTCGCAGGCGATGTGGACCTGGTCCGTCGAGACGAAGCCGAACATGCGGCCGATCTGGGGGTACGTCTTCTTGTTGTTGTGCGTGGCGCCCATGCCGCCGCCGGCGATGAGGTTGAAGCCCGCGAGCTTGCCGTCGGCGCCCTTGATGGCGATGAGGCCGATGTCGTGGGCGTAGACGTCGGTGTCGTTGTGGGGCGGGATGGCGATGGTGATCTTGAACTTGCGGGGCAGGTACGTGGGGCCGTAGAGGGGCTCGAAGTCCTGGACGGCGTCACCGGCGACCTGGGTCTTCTTGTCGTTCTCGTCGGCGAGCCAGATCTCGTGGTAGGCCGAGGTGGAGGGCAGGAGGTGGTCCGAGATGATCTTGGAGTAGGCCCAGACCTCGCGGTGGTAGGCGGACTGGTTCGGCAGGGAGGAGCACATGACGTTACGGTTGACGTCGCCGCAGGCGGCGATGGTAGTCATGAGCGCGCGGTTGATGGCCTGCATGGCGGGGCGGAGCTTGCCCTTGACGACGCCGTGGAACTGGAAGGTCTGGCGCGTGGTGAGCTTCATGGTCTCGTTGCCGAGCTCGTTGGCGATGTCGTCCATCTGGATCCACTGCAACGGCGTGGAGATACCACCGGGCAGACGGCAACGGATCATGAAGGAGTACGCGGGCTCGAGACCCATGGCCTTGCGCTCGTCACGCACGTCACGGTCGTCCTGCATGTAGGTGCCGTGGAACTTGGTGAGCTGCTGGTCGGAGGCGGAGATGGCGCCGGTGGAGGTGTCGTTGAGACCCTCGACGATGGTGCCGCGGAGGTAGTTGGACTGGATCTTCATGTCCTCGTTGGTCAGGGGCGCGGGCTCCTCGGGGAGACCATCGACGTTGTCGACGCCGAGCGCGGCCCAGATCTTGGGCTCCCACTCGTTGTAGCCGGTCTGGTAGCCGTCGGGGTCCTGGTCGTCACCGAGACCGGTGTCGGCAAGGCGCTTGCCGCCCAAGTTGGAGAGGACGCGGTCCAAGTCCTTGGCGGGCTTGTTGTAGTAGATCTTGTCCTCCTTGCGGGGCCAGTAGTGACGGTCACCGAGACCGAAGACAGAGTAGTTGACGTTGGAGAGGTCGAGCTCGGTGTTGTCCTTCAGGGCATCCCAGAGGGGGCGACCGTTCTGGGGGAACTCACCCTGACCGGCGGTGGAGGAGACAAAGATAATGTTCTCCTCAGAGGGTAGGTCCTCGATGGGGTAGTCCTCCATGACCATGACGGTGGTCTTCAGGCCGCGGGCCTTGCCACGGTTACCGAGGCGCTTGGCGACGGTGCCGGCGTTGCCGTTGTCAGAGGCATACAGGACGGTCAGAGGAGCGCCGAAGAGACCCTCGAGCAGCTGGTTGTAGGCGTCCTTGGCCTTGCGCTTCTGCTGGGCCCTGACCTCGGTGCCGAAGTCCTGGGACAGGTTGGCGGCGAAGACGGGGTCCTTCTTCATGATCTGGGTCAGCTGGTTGTCGCGGTCGAGGAAGGCCTTGAGCTCGCTCTTGATGCGCTCAGAGTCGAGAGAGAAGAGGGGCTCGCCCTTGGCCTCGTTGGCGGGGTTCCAGCGGTACAGGGGCCAGTAGCCGACGTCGATGGCCTTCTTGGTCTCCTGGAGGACAGTCAGGGGCGAGTCAGCCTCTCCGTTGTACGGGAGGTAGGCCAAGATGACGGAGGGACCGTCGTACTGGTCAGCCTCGAGCATGGCCTGCAGGACCTGGGTGTAGGAACCGTAGACGGCGGTGGAGGCGACGTAGGCGTTGCCAAAGTTCATGGCGTACAGACCAATGTCCTTCTTGCGGCGGTTGGCATCAGCAGCGGCACGCTCCGAGTAGGGAGTCGAGTCGATGATGAGCATGTTGACGTTTTCGCCCGAGGCCAGGACGTGGTGCACACCAGAGTTGCCAAGATCGTAAGCCCAGGCGTCAGAGCCCACGAGCCACAGAGACTCCTTGCGGAAGAGGCGCTTGCTGGAAAGCAGATTGCGAGCAATAGAGGAGCCGTCGGTCTCGAGGCGGGGGATCAGGTCGTCGGCGATCTCGCTGGCCTTCTTGGCATCGTCGGCGTTGGCGGCCCAGCGGGCGAGCCAGCTCTTGGGCGACTCGGTCACGAACTGGTTGCTGCTGGCAGCCTCCTTGACCTCGTTGACGAAGCGGCCGCGGCGCTCCTTGCGGGCCAGCAGGGAACCGAAGCCGAACTCGGGGCTGGCCTGGATGGAGGCGTTGATGCCGGCGTTGCTGGACTTGAGCGCGTTGGCGACGTAGGCGCGCTGGCCGAACAGCTGGTCGAGGATCTTGGTGTACGAGGTCTCGACCTTGGGCTTCTCGAGGCCGTACTCGAGAGCCTCCTGGGGCACCTCCTTGCGGCCGACCTCGAGGTTCTGGACGGGGGTCTCGAGGTTCAGGTTCTGCAGGACGCCGCGCAGGGCCTGGATGACGGTCTTGGGGTCGATGTAGCCCAGCTGGTAGCCGACGACGGTCCGGACGCCGCCGAAGCCGCTCTTCACGCTGGTGAGAACGTCAATGAGGACGGGGCCCCATTTCGTGGTCTTGCGGTGGATCTGCTCGAGAACGGCGATGCGCTTGACGGACTTGGGCAGGGTGTCGACGAGGGCAGAGCTCAACCATGGGCGGTACAGTCTCGGGGTGATGATGCCGACCTTGGAGAAGTCGCCGCCGCGGCGGGCTTGGTCGATGACATCGCCAAAGAAGTAGGCGCCGGAGCCGAAGACGAACAGGCAGTTCTCGGCGTTGGAGGGGCCGGCGTAGAAGAAGGCCTTGTACTCGCGGCCGGTGACGCGGTGGATCTGGGCCCAGATGCCGTTGGCGTACTTGAGGATGTCCTCGGAGGAGACGACGGGCAGGGCCGACTCGATGGTGGTGGCGTTGGAGGAGACGACGGACGGGGGGCTTTCGGTGACGCTGTGCTCGGCGGAAGACTGGACCGAGGCGCGGGACGAGTCCGCCAGCTTGGAGTGCACGGACGAAGCGAGTTCGGAAGAGCTCAGACCACCCAGAGTGGAGGAGCCGGTCGGCGGCACGTCGGGTCGGTCTGACGCGACCGGCAGTCGGCCGTCATCGGCGTAGATGCCGACAGCCGCTTCCGTGCCGTTGGTCTGCTGGAACCGCCTGGCAGCATCAACGTCGAGGATCTCTCGTACGAAATCGGGGTCTTCGGCCTCGATGGCGGCGTCCTCGTCGCTGGAGGCAGAGGCGAAGAAGTGAATCACGCCCTTGCCGGAGCGCAGCGCCAGGGCGTGGGCCGTCAGGGCCATGTCCTGGGCCTCCTGCAGAGACTCGGACTGCAGGAACGTCCATCCCGAGTTGCGGATGGCTGTGATGCTGGAGAAGTCGGGGAAGCCGGCGGGCTGGAGGGCGACATGGAGGACGACGGGGTAGTTGGCCAGCTTGTAGAGGTGTGCGATGGCCGGGAGGAGGACGGTGGAGGATGTCGTGACGGCGACGAGCTTGCCGGCGCGGGTGGGAGTGAAGACGGAGAGGAGGGGGTCGGCGTTGTGCCTGACGTGCTGGACCTGTCGACGAGAGAAGCAATTGTCAGTTTCCACAGACTCAATGGCAACGAGGGCGGGGGGTTCTTCTGGTGTTGCTCACCTCTGGCACGGCGTTCTTTGCGACGAGGCTCTTGTCGCCGCGAGCGACGTAGCGCTTCAGGTGGGAAGAGAACTCGGAGTCCTTAGCCAGTGAAGGCTGGACGGAGACGACAACATCACTGGAAAGGTAGGCGATTCTGGCGACTGGTTGCGCATCGTGTCAGCTTCTGTCTCTCGCCATCGTCGACTTCCATCTTCATTCATCGCTGCCCGTCCTGCTCTTCCTAGGCCGCCCACTGCTAGCGGGCTGCTGGGTGCAGGATTGCGACAAATACCACGGCTGTGATTGGTCGCAATCCGGTCCCGCTGTAGACTCGCTGGAATTACAGTGGGCAGAGCGCTGAAGGAGGACGGGCTTGCAGCCAGTAAAACCAGCCGGGTGTCAGGAACAGAACCAAAACTTACCGGCCTCTCCAGGCGTCTGAATCTGGCCTCTTGTCGGTGCCATTGCGTCGGTTTGTCTGGGTATATGGGTATGGGGAGATATTTCGGAGGAGTTCGAGGGAAGAAGGCTGCGTTCTGGCCCCTATGCGTTTCCCTCTGCTTCGTTCCTTGGATTCCTCTTCGCCGGTGTTGCTGTGTGTAAGAGACAGGCGAACTCCAAGAAAGAACAGCAGCTGCAGCAACAACAACCACAACAACAACCAACAAGATGGGAGGGTCTTTAGGAAGAAAAAAAAGTGACGATATGTAAGGGAAAAAAGAGCAAGGGAGGAACAGCGAACCAGCTCCGAAACCGTGCTGCTTTTGGTTTTAATTCAATGAGAAAGAGAGAGCTGTTGCTGGCTGCCGGCTGTCTCTGCGGCGCGCAGTTCCCACCGACAAAATTTGCCCCGCAGAAAACAATGAATTTTGTCGACATCAGGGTCGATTGCGTGATCGGCTAGCGCAGCGTCTCCCCCAGTCCATTCGCTGGTTGTCCTGCCGCACTGTCGAAACCTGGCGCCGCGGATTGCTTGGGTTGCTTGGGTGCGCTTTTCCCATTTTTGGGGAGTGCAATGGGCTGGCCATGGGGGCGGCCGGCTGGGTGGGCGGGTGGCATTGGGAAAACGGGGGAGGGCATGACACTGACACCCTCAGTCAGTATCAAACAAGTACCGTGTGCGGCATTGCTTGCCTATTTGGTACCTTGGGGAAGACGGGGAATGGATTACAAAGGCAACTTTCTTCAGCTGCCAGCTGGGGAGATGTGCCTCCTGTTCCTTCACACGCTGTCCCTCACGCTGGACTTCGGGATGAACATGATGACCAATTCTTCATCTCCATGACTGCTATTCGTACAGCCAGACATGACCATGAACCGCTAGCTTTTACCCCAACCTTCTCATCTACAAGGTCGCAGTTGCCGGGGAACTCAGTAATACTTTGACGTAAGATGAGCAACCTCCCGTGCTTCTCCAAAAAGCGAGGGACCTGGATTACAGGCAGGGAAAAAAAAAAAAAAGGCATCGAAGTCTCTGGACTAGCTAGCACCTGCACTTACACCAGGAACCAATGGCCGAATGCCGAAAAACGCCGTTGTCGGTCACTCTTCCTCGCAGCAGCCGCCTCACTCCAGCCGCTGCCGCGTCTCTGCTGTAGACTGTGTGACTTTCTACTAGCAGAGAACCTCTGCGTTGCGTCTTACACAGCAAGGAGGCGAGTCACAACCAACACACGACGCCTCAATAAGAGGGTACCTGGCCGTGCTAGTGCAGCGCTCCATATCCCGTCGTGGAACCCCGTCTCGCGTCCCCCCCATCCATGCCTCCTCCCCCCGGGGAATCTTTCGGATTACAAATGGTGAGCCCTGGATTAGCAGCAGATTTTCTCCAAGTAGTCCCTGCCCAAGTCGCCAGCCAGATGGGCAAATGTAGCCTGCCCGAATCCCCATGCTGCACGACGATGCGCCTTCCCACCAACAGGTCTGATGAATTAACGTACGTGTATTACTATGTATATGTCGAGGCCGTGTGTATAGGTCATTCCCATCTGGTATGCTGTTCCCGTGATCGGGCTTTGGTTGCCATCTCTACCCAGTCATCAATCGACCCAAAAGTCCCACTCCCAATCGCCAGCCCGAGAAATCATCTTACCCAATCGTCCATACGCCGATGGCCATTTGACCACTCTTGCTCAAATCATAATCTAAACCCCGAAGGAGGAGAAGAGAAAAAAGGTGTCATCCTCCGTGATCCACAACCATCCACATTACACATTCTCCATCTCGCCGAATGATGACACTCCGCGATGGCGCCATCGTGGACCGCCGTTTTTTTTCGCCTCCGTCATCGCTGCCCGCTGGGAATACCGCACAATAGCCGTACCGCCAGCCGGCGGGGCGGGTCTGCGTCAACACAGTTGCCGCCGACGAAGCCGTCACCGTTCCCGCCGACACCGATACCCAGCAAAACCCACATGGGTTCTCGCCCGCCCACCGCCAAATGATAAATCCGCGAATCCACCTTTTTCCATCTCGGAATCGCTTCCGCTTAATATGCTTCGGAAAATTTAAGCTTAAGCGCCTGCGTGCCTAAACTTGGAGCTCATCGCACTCGCCCACTCCTCCTGCGCCTTCTCGTCAAGCCAGTAGCTGCGTCCCAGGGCAAGCATCACTCTGCCGATGCGACCACGGTAGCCCTCGCCGTCGGGCTCGCCAGGGCTGAACGGTCCGTCGGGGCCCTTCTTGCGTCCCTCCTCTTCCCAGCCCATCTCAGTGAAGCGCTGCAGCACGCTCTGCGCAAACGACATGACGACAACCGCAAAGTAGACCCTCAGCAGCGTCACGGTGATGATCAGCCCCAGGCTCATCCACGACTCCTGCGGGCCAATGTGCTTGGTCGTCTTGGGCACGTCCGGCACGACAGGCGCGCCGTTCGCCAGCGCCTCCTCCGCAATCTCCGCGGCGGCCGGCACGCCCGCGCTGCCCGGGTGCTTGTCGAGAGCGGTGCTGTGGAGGTACCAGCCGACGGCGAAGAAGGTCGTGTACGCGATGTTGAGGATCGTGTCGATGATGTACAGCCACGCGAGCCCGAGAGCCTCAAAGGGGCTGTTCTTGCGGATGTGAGGCAGAAACATGGCCAGGCAGACGATGACGCCAACCGAGTACATGTACATCGACAGCTGCGTCGCGGAGATCTCGTAGCCGGTGAGGATCGCGAGGAGGCCGTACAGGCCGGTGAGGCGGTTGAAGAGCAGGATCAGTGAGATGATCTCGGTGCCGGTTTGCAGGCTGATGCAGCCCAGGAACGTCTGTGTCGCGTGACTTTTGCGTCAGTAATCGTGGGCTGCGATGGAAGATGCACGCCGGCGCTTAGCGATGATGTGACGAACCTTTGGGCGCGGAACCCGCAACCTGAATCTTGTAAGCGCCATTTCGTTTTGATTTTTTCTTTCCCTCGTGGAATCAATAATCGTGTAGGTATGTAGGGTGATTTGTTGAAGGAGGGAAGACCCAGAGGCGGGAGGGACAATAAGGGTTGCGTCAGAAGAAGGGGTCCAGGAGCTCTGGTAATGTTTGGGAAGCTTTGCGAAAAGCGTTGCAAAAGGCTCGTCACATTTAACCAAAGCGGCTGCGCCGGATGACATGGTGCTCCGAGAAAAAAAGGGTGGAAAGACCCTGCACCTGCGTTCCCCCTTCGATGACATGATGGGCCCCACCTGCTCCGTCATGATGGCACTCCCCGGGGCGTGTGTCCGAGCGCCCCTTCGCTTTCTGTACGCGGATTTGAGCAGCAACCCGCCGGCCGCCGCGCAGCGCAGCGGGCGAGTGCAAATCGATTTCCACGACCCCACCAGCGATGGACACCGGATCGCTCTCGACCAGTCGATTGGGCCTTGACGGACCCTGGCACTCGGTGACAGTCCACAGCGGTCCTACGGAGTCCGAGTATCGCCAGAGCCTAGGCTGATTAGGTAGTCTCGTGTCATTTCGGGCGGTGCACCACACGTCAATCTTCAAGCTTATTTCGTTTAGGAGTGTTTGCAGGTCATGCACTGAGCTAGTCCAGCATATCATGCTCCCTAAGCTGCTACCTTCACCACCTACACTATACACATAGGTGTTGCTCAATTCGCAAAGGCCCAAATAAATGGTGAAGAGGAATAAAAGGAGCCATTAAATGTAGGTATGTACTAACGACCGTGGATTATAGCCCGTTATTATACAAACTGTAACTGATGCTGAAAATCCTCATTGCACGCTATGCTTAAGATGTCCCGCCCCGCCAGTCGTGTCGTAATGTAACGGCAATTCAGCCCCGCGTCGTCCGGTCCGCCGCGGGTCGCTCGTCTTTTCATCTTTTTGGGGCCTACTCCAGTCTCGTTTGCTTTCTTTTCGAATAAGAACATCATCTAGCACGCGCATCCCTCTTGCGAGGATGCGGCAGGGGTCGTCTTCACATCAATCACTGTGGGTTCGTGTTAGTAAGCCGCTCGTGGGGGAGAGATCGGAAAAAAAGCACTCACTTTGGCTTGAGGCCTGCTGAGCAGCATCTGTGCCCTCCATGCCGGGCAACGCCTGCGCTATTCTCTTGAACAGCGTCTTGACGTTGTGGCCCAGCTTCGCGCTAGTTTCCACGAACATGAGGTTGTTCTTCTTGGCCTCCTCCTCTCCCTGCTGCGTCGTGACCTCTCTCTTGTCGTTCAAATCCGTCTTGTTGCCCACGAGCACAATGATGACGTCGTTTCCTCGCTCGGCGCGCACATCGTCGATCCACTTCTTGGTGTTCTGGAAGGATTTCGCATCTAGAATCGTTGGTCGTTAGCCGTCGGTTCCCCACCTCGCCTCCCTCCCTGAGCTCATTCGTCACATACTTGAAATGTCGTACACCACAACCGCCACACTGGAATCGCGAATGTACGAGGGAATCAAACTGCGGAATCGTTCTTGGCCGGCGGTATCCCAGAGCTGTAACCTCACCGTCCGGTCCTCAAGGTACATGGTCTGCGGTTCGAGTTAATAACGCCCCTTCCACACACCCTGATGTCATGGAGAATCTTGCCTTGGAAAGGAAGTCGATGCCAATGGTCGCTTGGTACATGTTGTCGAAGGAGTCGTACATGAACCGCGTGATGAGTGAGGTTTTACCGACTGCAACAAAGACGGTATTAGTGAGGGGTGTCGTGCATCAAAGAAAGAGCTGGGTTAGCTCTTCCAAGGACCAAAACGTACCACTCTGCTCGCCCAAGAAGACAAGCCTGTTGTCCTAGCCGTCAGCATTGATGTCCCCAAATTGACCCGTCATGTTTGGCGCATCGTACTTGAACTTCTTGAGTGGGTTGTTGTAAGACCCGCCTGCGCCGGACGCCATGGTTGCCAAGTATACGCGATGATCAAAGGGAAGCTCGACGTAGTATCGGTGGAGGGAACACGGTCGACACTAACGGATAGGTTCGCCGGGGAGGAAGTGAGTTTTGGATGCAAGGGAGAGAAAGAGGAAGAGGGGGAAAAGGAGGGACGCTGGGGGAATAAGGGGTCCAGGGAGGCCTTTCGGAGATGGGAGGAACTCGTAGAGTTGGTCGCAAAGCTGGAAATTGAGCAACTCGACGGTAAAAGGAGGTCAACTTTCTCGTTCTGGGCGGCGCATTGCAGCTTAGCAGGGTCCCCGTCATCCATTGAGGGACCGATAAGAAGCGGGTCCCCGCCGTACTAGTCCAATCACGTGCTGATAATCCGATAATGCAACCTCCATATCGATAACGAAAAATTTCTGGTCGCTGGGATGCCGGGATCTAGGCCCCGCCGGTGAAGAGAAAGTCCCTGCGGTCCAGATTGAAGGCGAAGCGGACATTTGTTCAAGCTGCAGGGTGCGCTGGTCGACGGTTTTTCACGACAACACCTCAATCAATGAGAGATACCCAACGAAACGCCAAACATCCCCAGTCCAGTTGAATAACCCTCCAAGATGCCCGTTCTCAAGCCCCTCTCGGGCGACGGCGAGGCGCCGCAGCAACGCAAGCAGCCCTCGAGGAAGGGAAAGAAGGCGTGGAGGAAGAACGTCGACGTGACCGATGTCCAGGACGGTCTCGATGAGTTGAACAAGCAGATCATTACCGGGTGAGCTATTTACCCATTACTGCCTCACAACTACAGCCCAGCACCAGTCGCTAATCCATGCCACAGTGGCGTCGTCGCAGAGAAGGACTCGGCAGACCTCTTCGCCCTCGACACCGTCGGCAAAGCCCTCCCCAAGCCCAAGACGAAAAAGACGCTCAAGTCCGACGAAATCATCGCCGCCCGCTCCGCCGTCCCCGCCGTCTCCGGCCGCAAGAAGCGCTCCTCCTCCCCCTCGAAAACCTCCGACGGCCTCCTCCCCGTCAAGCGCCAACGCACCACCGACTGGGTCTCCCACAAGGAGCTCGCCCGCCTCCGCAAGGTCGCCGACGGCCAGCACGAGTCTTCCATCACCGTCCAAGACGCCACCTACGACCTCTGGGGCGCCGCCCCCGCACCCGCCGCCGAGCCCGCGACCGCCGGCAAGGACAACTTCGTGCCCCCCGTCGTCAAGGCCAAGCCCCCCAAGACGCTCAAGCACAAGCCCATCTCCCTCACGGCCTCCGGCAAGCCGCTCCCCGCCGTCGTCAAGCCCTCGGGCGGCTACTCCTACAACCCCACCTTCGACGACTACGCCGACCGCCTCGAGGCCGAGTCCGCCAAGGCCGTCGCCGCCGAAGAAGCCCGCCTCGCCGCCGAGGAGGCCGAGCGCCTCAAGCGCGAGGCCATCGCGCGCTCCGCCGCCGAGGCCGACGCCGCAGACCGCCGCGCGCAGCTGTCCGAGTGGGACGAGGACTCGGCGTGGGAGGGGTTCGAGTCGGGCGTCGAGAACGACGACGACAAGCCGTCGCAGAAGCGCCCGCAGCGCAAGACGCCGCAGCAGCGCAACCGCATCAAGCGCCGCAAGGAGGCCGAGCGCGAGGCGAAGCACCAGCTCGCGATGAAGAAGAAGGCCGCTCAGGCGGAGCGCATCAAGCAGATCGCCACGGAGCTCGCCGAGCGGGACGCGGCCAAGAGCGCGCTGGAGCTCGCGCGCGAGGTGGGCGAGGGCAGCGACGCGGACGACGACGACGACGACATCGACGACGACGCCCCACTGAGGAGACGGCAGCTCGGCAAGTACAAGCTGCCGGAGAAGGACCTGGAGCTGGTGTTGCCGGACGAGCTGCAGGATTCGCTGAGGTTGCTGAAGCCCGAAGGAAATCTGTTGAAGGATAGGTACCGTAGCATGTTGCTGCGCGGTAAGGTTGAGGTGCGGAGACATCTTCCGTTCAAGAAGCAGGCCAGGTCGAAAGTCACAGAAAAGTGGTCATACAAGGATTTCAAGATTTAAAGGGAGTACATACGATAGAAGGCATCATAAAAGTGGTAATACAAAAGCGTCGGGCATTCACTTTCACTCAATTGGCCAAGCAGAGGCTGGATCTTTAACGACAAAAATGGAATTCAGAGACCGTCTACGCCCCTTTCTAACTCTTTTATCCCCATGATTCGGCATCACTTGGGGATGCATCTTATGCCCTCGTACTCCCCAGGGTATGCTAACACAAAAGAAAATCATACAACACTCGCGTCTTGATTTTAGTAGGTCATTAAATCTGTTGAGTATCAGTAAAGGTCCAATTAGTAGGGGAACGTAAGAGAGCTTACCTCTTCCAAAGAGGCCACGCTTGGCCCAGTCCATGGCAAGCAAAATACGCGTCCTCAGGCTGACGCTCTGAGCAAAGTAGACAGATCGCCACATGTAAACCGCCCACAGTCCACCGGCAAAGCTCCAGCCTTGTCCCCAATCAAAGACGGCCGAGTTACCAATGTACGCCAAGCTTCCCAAATGGCGGTACTCAAATGCTCTATAAACCACTGCGTCGATATCACCGTCGAAAACTTGGTTCGCCCTCAGGCCTTCCGAGGTGCGAGCCATCTTATTGAACTTGTGGGCAAGGTACTGTCCCTGCTGATGCGCGCGCTGCGCCGTTGCGGGGAGCGAGGTGAGTTTTGAGTCGATCTGCTTCAGGAGCTCTCTAAGCTCGCCAAAGTTGAGGGTACCAGACTGATCCTTGTCAAACTGTTCGAAGAGCTTGTCAAGACGCTTGAGATGGCCGACGGCCTGGGGAAAGCGTCTGCGAACGTCGTTGGCAACGTCGCGCCAGTCGGTGAAGTGGAGCTCGAGGGTCTCGGGATCTTTGCCTCGCTTGAAGGCAAGACCACGAAGGAAGGTCATGATATGGTCGGCAACGTTGTTCTGAACAGTTGAGCAGTCGCCGATGGCGTAGACATCGCCCAGGGGTGTTCCATTGAGACGGAGATGAGTATCAGTCTCCAGAGCGTGACGGTTCGTCTGTGACGGGCCGAGCTTTGCAGACAGGCGCTTGCAGAGGTCGGTCTGGGCGACACCCGTCGACCAGAGGCAGAAACCCATGGGCAGTTCCTTGGTGACAAGCGAACCGTCGGGCTGCTTCTGCGTGAAAATGATCTTGTCGGGGAGAACCTCCTTGACGCGCGAGTTGGTGAGCACATCGACCTGGTCGCGGGCAAAGTGCTCTTCGGCATACTTCGAAACCGTTTCATCGTAGGTGTTGAGAATGTGGCTACGGCTTTGGATCAAGTGGACGGAAATTTCGTTGCGAAGGAGCTTCGGGAAGTGCTGAGTGAGGTCCTCATTGAGCATGTCGAAGAGTTCGGCTGCGAATTCAACACCGGTAGGGCCACCTCCACTGACAACGAAGGAAAGGAGACGCTTGCGCTCGTCATCGGATGTGGTAGGTAGGCAGGCCTTCTCGAGGTTGAGCATAACCTGGTTCCGGACCTTACGGGCGTCGCTGATGTCCTTGAGGAAGTGCGCGTTCTCGAGTCCCTTCACACCGTGGGGATTCGTAGTAGATCCAACAGCAATTACCAGCTTATCGTAGGGAACATAGAAACGTCTCGTGTTGCCAGCTTCGTCAGTGTCCGAACACTCAATCAGCTTGTGCGAGAACTCGACGTCCTCTGCGCAAGCACGAATGAAGTGGCCGTTCACGCGAGCGAGAATTCGGCGGACAGGTTCAACCAGAGATCGCAGTTCCAGGGTTCCAACAGTAGCAGACGGCAGCATAGGCGTAAACAGGAAGTAGTTCGTCGGCGAGATTACAGTTACGTGGTAGTCGTCTGGGTTCAGCTCTTTGAGCATGGCAACGCCGCCCCAGCCGCCGCCCAGAATAACCAGCTTCGGCTTGTCCTTGGTGCTCTTCATGCCCTCGGTGTCCAGGTCGTCGATAAGTACGTCAGCAATGGGGAGGTTCTTAGGCCCGCCGCGTCTGGGGTTCAGCGCGAGCTCCGAGACGTGAATCTCGAACTGGTCCGGGTGTTCCTTGTAGGTAGAAGCGTCGTAGATGAAGAAGCCAACAATGCCGAGACCGACGAAGATGATGCCGCCGCCAAGCCATGCCGCGCCGCGGTAGGCAAGCCATAGAAGCCGGGATTTCGGTTTGGAGGTGGTGGTCGAGGTAGCGGTAGAACTAGAGGCGGCGCGGACGAGGGGACTCTTCGGCAGGCCGTGGGCGTTGAAGAAGTTCGTAAGGGGTGTTCGGGTTCGAGATCGTTGGGGGACATTAGCGAAGGCGCGCCTTTGCGGCAGCGCCGCGAGCGGCTGTCTGCATGGCGGCAGGGCCTTGAGCAGACTGGCTGGCGATGGTGTCTGCCGGCTTGCGCGGGTTAGGCGCATCAGCGCCGAGGTGGTTGGAGGCATTTATTGATTATCGTGTATCTTTGGTTTCGAGCGGAATGAATGTCCTGATGATTCAACAGGGAGATGTCATGTCGAAACGAGCGAAGGGAGCACGACAGCTCTGTGGGAGGGTCGATCGTGGAAGTTAGGTGCAGCAACAGTAGACAGACAAGGGAGAATCGTTGGAGAGAGGAAGCTTTCTTGGTTCGAGATCAGGATGAGAAAATCAAGGTGTAATGTACCTTAATGGCTACGAAAAAAAGAGCGACCTAATGGAACTGGCGGGACAGCTGCCCTGGACATAACGTATGCGTAATGATGCTTGCCCGTACTAGGTCAATTGCAGGCGCAGGGCGTGTTGTCACTGGTCGCTGGCGACATGGAAGGTGCTGCAGTAGTCAACCTCGAACCTCCGAGGAGCTCCTTTCCCGGCGACTCCAGCCAAAAGTGTCGTCATAGGTCGGTTAACCCGAAAAAACCTGCCTTCCATTGCATGCAATTATGCAGGACGGCGCCTACCGCCAGAAGCTTCTAAGCAGCACCCAGCGTCTTCATCAGTCTTCTTCCCGTCTCTCTCTGCCCTTGGGACTCTAGCTATTCTCTCCTCCAGCGATATTATTTCCAAAATTCTGAAAATGTGCCTCGCGCCCGTTCCGAGAGGCAAACAATATGCCGTCGTCAACCGAACTCTTCTCGGACTTTCGTCCCAAGTTCTGGGCCCGTGTCGGCGCCGCGTCCCTGATCCGCCGAGCTGATAGCTTGCCTCCCTGCAAAATCTGATAATGGCGACCCTGGCGACGCCAAAAGACCTCAGTCAGCGGCGTCAAAAACCCATGCCGGCTGCCGTGGCAAGCGTGCAGACCCCACACCTTTCGCAGTGCTTGTCCACTTCTTCGGTGCCTCCTTCGGCCAATTGAAGATGGGCCGCTGGCCAATGACGTCCGTTGATAAACCAGCGATGCCGCTGCCAGACACGGATTGACGGATCTTGCATACGAAAACTGCGTCTTTTCTTCACGTCTGACGGTCTGGGAAAGAAGGGCTGCATTGTGTCGCATTCGCAACATCCCGGTGGAGGCTCTGTCAGATATCTTGGCATCCCTATGGGATATGCGGCTTTTACTGCTAGACCCTTCCTGTTGCTACATGAGTAAGGGTATTATTTACTGGAGCACATGATGAAGGACGCAGCCTCATCTTCTACATGCGTGCCTTAGGACCGAATAAGTCGAGGTAAGGTCAAGGCAGGGCAGGGCAGGGCAAGGCTAGCACCGGAAGTATCTCTTCTCGACCCAACGATCCTCAATGTCTGCAAGCATATTGCAGAGCACAATCGTGATGCCGGGAAACACCTTGGCCAGACGGTGGACTCCCAGCCTTCCGGCGGCGTAGCAAGCCAGCACGATCTTCTCCTGCGCGACGCCGTGGTCCACGAGGACCTGCACCGCCATGAGTGCCGCGCCTCCGCTGGCCATTTGCGTGTCAATGAGCAAGACTGCCTCGTGCTCATCAATGTCATCGGGCAACTTGAGGTAGTGCAACTCAGGCTCTCCGGTCCGCACGTTGGACTGGATAAGGACCCTGCCCGTCCTCATGTCGGGGACGACCCGCTTCAGGGCCGTCTCGAATGCGGCTCCGCCTCGGAGAACGAGCACTGCACTTACATTGCCCTTGGCCACAAGACCGTTGTATTTATATCCCTGTGGCGTGGCGATCGTCTTCTCCTCAAAGTGCACGTTGTTGAGCGCCCTGCATCATTAGTTTGCTGCCCGAGAGGTCGAGGATGATGCACTCACTGCTCGATCAGGAGACAAGCCAAGCGGTCGAAGTAGAAGATGAAGTCCTCGCCCGAGGTGTCAATATCCTGAATGATGGTGCTCATGCCTCTCAGCTGCGGCGTCTGTTCCAAGACTACGACCCTGTCGGACAGAGGCTCGCTGGCGGCAGCCAGCTCAAGCTGCGTCAGGGCTGCACGGTGGTGGGTCGATTTTTCAATCAACTTTCGCTCAATGTACTGAACGACCATGGCTGTTCGTTGATTTAGCAACGCTCACTCACAACGCTCATGTCTACTCACCCATCGCAACTCGGTTCTCAATTCCTCTTGGGACAATAATGTCTATGCAGCGTCAGCACGGGTGGTAGAGAGTTTCATAACACTGAGATGCCTTACCTGCCACCTTTCGCTGCGGCTCGACAAACTTTTCAAAGTTGGGCTTCACGAAGGTGAACCACTGCTTCATGATGCCCTCCACATCACGGCCACGTTCCTTGACATCTCTCAAAACTAGGAACCGAGGTCAGCTTTATGCATCCCTGCATACGTATTCATCGCTATCATGCACTGACCTCTTCGAGACAGGCAAGTATCAGCATCGGCCTCACAGAATATCTAGACAGCTGTGAGAAGGCGGTAACCGAAATCTGGAGAGATCATATTTACTCTCATATCCAGGAGGTCAATGATGCGCGGGTCGTGAAGGGCAAAGATACCCTCGAGGATGATTACGTGGGGGGAGTAGATTGTTGTGGTGTTTTCCATACGCTGGTGCTTGGAAAAGGAGTAGATGGGGATTTCTGCACGCTTGCTGGTAGGCGTAAGTCATAATTCGGTAAGAAATTTCATCGACAGTAGACAGTAGATCCTCTGATGTTCGATATTGTCATCTCAGGACCATTGTCACTTACCCAGCTTTGAGATCTCGGAGGCAATCCACAAGCACATTAAAGTCGATGGCCTGTCATAGCCGTCAACAACCGCTCTTCACACTCGCGGAAACTAACCCACCTCTGGTGAATCAAAGTCAAATTCGTTGGCAAATGCCTTTTTAGATTGCTCAGGAGTGAGGGGGTTGTAGAAAGAGTCCTAATATCACAAGTCAGGGGCGATGTGATGTGGTGGTGGTTGGCGGGGTAAATTTGCACACATACCATGGACAAAATCACCACCCAGGGCAGATTCAGCTTCCTAACAATGGCGTGGGACAGCGTGGACTTGCCCGAGCCTGAGCTGCCGGCGATGCCAATGATGCTGACGTCTGCCCATGGTGGTGAGTAGTGCGTTCGCTTCTGGACCGTCACATGAGACTCTGTGCCGTTTGTCTCTGCCATTTCGGAGCTGGCCGACGTGGAGGGGTACAGGCGATGGCGGATAGTTGCAGCTTGGACCTCGAGTTCCTGCAGCTCAGGAGTAACGACGGGTGAGGGGCACGCTGCAGGAGTTTCCGGTCGGTCTTGAAGGTCTCTGCTTCCTCGCAGTTGAATGAAGGAAGAGAAGGGTATAAGAATGGAAGAGAGGAAGTGAGGTGGTGGTGAGGTGAGGCAAAAGTTCAAGGGTCCAGTCTCCAAAGATAAGCGCTGAGGGGATGCTGGACTTTGACAAGCCTTCAGTGTGGAGCACCTGGCTGTAAAGGTAAGGTAACCTAGGTCCTGGCAAAGCTGCGTCGGGACAGTTGCTGACCAGAGCTACTACGCCCGCAAAGCAAATGAAATCTTGTGTGTAAATGCGATTTGACAGTGTGTTATGTTGGAAGATGTCAAGAAAAGTCTGAAATGATGAATGTAGAAAGCAGGAAAGGGGGAGTTGTAAACGGGAGGCTGTGTCGTGTGCCTCTTTACTCTAAACCGACCTGGTAAACATCGGCGGTCGCCTTACACCGGTTCTAGACGCTCGCAGCCTCCTCACTGATCTACGGAGACTCCCTTACCTACTTCTACCTACATACTAACCTACCATACCTACAGCGAGGTGACTTTCGCTTAGACCTAGGGGCCCAGACGTAGCCCAGAGAGGAGCACTGAGGCTTCGCACCCAAACGCTGGAGAGTCGTAGTGTTCCATTTAGCTTTCGTACCTGCCTGTCTTGTGCCCGTAGTGGAGCTTACCCTGTATTTTTCCTACGTTTGCTGCCCTGTCCGAGGCGCGATGCCCCTCAGGTCGCCACCATCTCAAGCAGCTTTATCTGCAGCCCTGTGCTTTTCTTGCCCTGTCGCCAGCCCTTCCAGCCCGCTTTCAGCAGCGGTGCTCATGTGGCCTATCCCACTTATGTAATCCAGTCTGCCCCACCTCCCCCACCGGCTGATTCTGCAATTGGTGCGCTGCAGCCGCAAAATCTGGAACCAAATAAAGCTCCGCTCCAGCCTCTTTCTCTTTGTTCTGACGCTTTCTCCTTCTTCCACATCCAATCCTTTCTCCGTCCGCTTTGCAGCTTCTTTCAAGCTCCAACAACAAAACCACGGGGCCTCGACCGGCCATCCCAATGTGACGACGGCCAATTTTTGATTCCGCTTCACATTTTTTTTCTTCATGATTTAGGCTTGCACCGACGCCTCATCCCCGACATCGCATGTCAGGATTGCCAGACATCAACGACCCAACAGCGATAGCAGTCTGGAATAGAGCTGCTGCTCGCCTCGTGCGGGAGACCCTGGAGAGAATCATGGTCCGTTGAAGCTGCCTCCCTTCCCTGGGGGCTGTGGGCTAAGATGTCATTCAGACTTCGTCTGCGTCGACCGCTACTCCCATGAAACATGCCTTCGAGAGGCGTGTCCAGGACGTCAAGTCGCCCAAGAGGTAAGCCCGTTGTCTTTCACGCTAGCTCCACGCTAGTCCGTCTCGCGCGCGAATCTCCTCCCCCCATCCAGCTCACATGATGATCGACTATCAAATGGGAATCTCTCCTAGCAATTAACATGCGGAGAACTCGATATAAAATTTTACCCTGACACTGCTGCTTCACCTTTCCTTTGCAACACATGCTTGATTTGCAAAAAGAGGCTCATGCTAACATGGACCTCTAGCGACATCAACGCCCTGATCCTCGACTACCTCACGATGGAGGGCTACTCTAGGGCAGCCGACAAGTTCAGCAAGGAAGCCAACCTGCAAGAACACCAGATCGATGAGACGGTGAAGATTCGCCAGCAGATTCAGAGAGCTATCCACACTGGAAGCATCCAGGCTGCCATCGAGGCCCTGAACGACTTTGATTCTGAGGTATGTTGATTTTGCTTGAATCTGTCTTCCCTCCGAGCTGTGATTAGAAACCGAGTTTTACATGCACCACTCATAGCGCCTTCGGGCCCTTTGATGAGGCACACCATTATTCAATGAGCTACCTTTCCTACTTCATCTTGTTAAATGTGCAACATATTCCTGTCGCAACGACTAACAAATGGACCAGATCCTGGATAGGGATCCCACCCTCCACTTTGCGCTTCTGCGCCTCCAGCTCGTCGAACTGATTCGGTCGTGTACGGCGACGCCCGGCGGAGATATCACTCCCGCCTTGACCTTTGCCACGCACCACCTTGGTCCTCGAGCGCCTACGGATCCTCGATTCCTCAAGGATCTGGAGGAGACAATGGCTCTCCTGGTGTTCCCTCACAGCGATCTCGAGCCCCAGCTTGCCGCAATACTGCACCCTGACTTGAGACGCGGCGTGGCAGACGACGTCAACAAGGCTATCCTGCAGCGTGAGACAGAGCGTAGGGAGGCCTCGATTCGAAACCTGATCCGGATGCGTGCCTGGGCTGAAAACACTGCCCGGGCTGAGAAGAAGGCGCTACCAGACAGGATAAGCATTGGCCTCAACGGGGACGGCGACGCTGACGTCCACGACCCCATGGTACTTTCCTCTTAGGTGCAGGCAGTGAAATTGACCCTGCGTCTTCAAAGGGGCTCAGACTCGGCTGTTTCCTAGATTGAGCCGGGACGCCAGGAGCAGAACGAACCTCGTTCCGACTCGGCTGATACCCAGGACGCGTTGGAACATTACGAGTCCGAAGATTCATATCACGATGGTGTTTTTGATGAGTTTCACGACTCGGAATAATTGGCATTAGGGACAAGGTAGCAAGGCGTTGGGAAATTGAGGATCGGTGTATCCTCGAACGATATCATGATACTCGGGATAAACAGCGCACCGAACAAACAATAGAAGCTTAAATGGCATTGTCACTATTAATCGCTCCTCCCTTAATCCCATGCCCCTGTTGCGCGCCTTTCCATGTCTAGGTGCTTTGTGAAAAGCCGAGAGCAGTATCCAGAGCTTCCCCAAGGCAAGTCTGACTTGCAGGAGCTTAGATGGTGTTATTTCCGCTGTGCAATTACTGTCTAAAGCACTGCTCCTGATGCCACCATGAGGCCATGCTAGAAACGTAAAAAGCGTTTGCTGGTTTGTAGGCGGAGATCTCATTCTACGAGCAACCATGGTTTGAGCTCAACGAAGCTCGGATACACATCTCGGCGGGCCCAGAGCGGACCAATAGCGTGCCACCAAAGTCCGCTGACATTGGCCCTTCCTAATGCGCTTCAACAAAGTCTCGTTGTACACTCAACTCTACTGCTCAGAAATATCTCATGTATACTCCATCACATAATCGTAATACGCGTGTTCCATGAGAATTCAGACCAATGGAAGGTGTGAAAAAAAGGTTTCTTTGCAGGGCGTCTTATGTACAGTACAAGTTTCTTTTTTGGCTTGGTCGTCTATTTGGTGCGGATGTGCTTGAGCTTCTTGGGGGAGTAGAGGAAGTTGTTGGCGTAGGCCTTGGGGCGAATCCTCCTCGACTGCGGCTCCTGCACGAAGTACTCGTAGCCCTGCTTCTCGGCGAAGTGGATGGCGTCCTCCTTGCTCTTGAAGTTGAGCTTGGTGCCCTGCATCATGTCGCCGGACGACTGCCAGCCCATGAGGGGGTTCTCCCATCTGTGGCCCTTGGGGAGGATGTCCCAGTCCATGCGCCAGTGGTGGCCCTGCCAGTCTCCGGACTGCGTCGCGGGCTTGGCCTCCTGGTAGATGCTGGTCATGATTTGTTAGTAAATGTCCGGATCCCGTCCTTGTGTCTTTGGGGAAGCTTCGTGGGAGCAGGGCTTTGGGATGCGTGCGTACCGAACGGTTCGGGCCTGGAGCTCCATAGGAGCGCCGGAGAGGACGGCGGCCTGAAGGTACGGGACGTCTTCACTGGCGTCCTGGATCTTCTTGGGGACGGGGGTGAAGGTGCTGTTGGAGGCTCGTAGGTTAGCCATTGGTATGTTCTTGGCGGCCCGAGTAGCCCCAATTGGGCGCCCGGACGGTACGGGTATCCTCACGAGGTGGCCTTGTCAGCCTGGATGGTGTAGTCGGGCGCGTTCTCTTGCGTCGAGGGAGCGACGGCGGGGGGAGCGGCGGTGGTTGTGGCGACGGAGCTCTCGAATCGACGAGCAGTCAGCGGGAGGGCAGCCCGCATCGGGGCGGCGCTGCGCAGCAGACGGGCTGCGCCCTGGACGCGGAGGGAAGCCATTGCGACGGGGGGATGGCGAAATCGGCGACTCCTTCGGAAACGGTTGTAGTCGATTTGGTGATGGTGGTTGACGCTCGGCAAACAGCCTTGCCTGGGTTGGCTGCCGCTGCCGCCGCCCAGGGACCCACCTTCACCCGATGTCCCGCACACTGATTGGCTAGCCGCAAGAACCTTGACCCGAAGAGAAACGAGTGCTTTTCGTTCAAACCTCACGTTCGGCAAATCCACCCGCATTTCGCAGCCATCTCAACCCCCCCAACGTCGAAACGAAGGTCAATTGATACCCTCCCGCGCCGTCAATTGACTTGCTCATCCCTAGCCGATAGATACCTCCGCCCTCCTCGCGAAAATGAGCTTCGTCACCCGCCGCGGTCTTTCGACCCTTATCCCCCCCAAGGTACGCTAGCTCTCGGGTATCCCTTTCCGCCCGCCCGGTGTCGTTTGACGAGAGCTTCTCGGACGGCGGAATGACTCTGCAGTTTGGCTAATTGGGATGCATCTAGGTCGCCTCTCCCAAGGTACGATATCTCTTGCGATTCTGACGTGTTTTGATGGATGGCCGAGGTGGTGCGAAGATAACGCCGCGAAAGTCGGAGGTTCGGGCGGGATGGTGCAGGATGCGGCCGGAAACTGGGTCAAGAGGTGGACGGGGCTCCTCGGAGCTTTGGAAGGATCGCGAGACGACGGCAGGCGGTGCACGCAGTTGCGACATGCGGTTGGAAGAGGCGGGGCAGAGCTTATTCACGCTGGCCGGATTTGATGATGTCTGTTGATTGATGGGGATGGTTGGCTAACATGCGCAATGTTCGATCCAGGCCCTTGGTGCGGACCCCAACGCCGTCCGCATGCAGCGCGTCGTCAACTTCTACGAGAAGCTCCCCCGTGGCCCGGCTCCCGAGGCCAAGGCTTCTGGCATCCTCGGCCGCTACGCCGCTAAGCACTTCAACGGCAAGAACGCCTCTGCCAAGCGTATGTTGCGACCTCCTCCGAGACGACGAATGTGTAAAGAGACATTGCTGACAGGTTGCGCGCAGCCATCATCCACGCCATCGGCTTCCTCCTCGTCGTCGGCTACGCCCAGAACTACTACTTCCACCTCCGTAAGTTTTGCCTTTGCGATTTTTTTAGGGATCCCTGCGGGCGCGGGGCAGTTCGGATGAAAAGAGATACGAGGTGTAAATGTTTCAACGGATGGGATTTGCTGACGTCTTTTGAACCGTGACAGGCCACCACAAGAACAATGCTCACTAAGCTACTCTCTCCCGATCGGATGTGTAGTTCCAGCCTGAACCCGTAGGCTGTGTAATGGCATTGGGACTGTGTATACAAGAATTAGAAGCTCTATTTTCTCCGAGAGGAAGCTCCTCGGCAAATTCCCTTGTGTCGTATAACGACGTGTTTGACGACTTGTGAAGTTCCAACGCCAGCTTTATTGACCTCATGTAGAGCTTACAATGAATGGACTACGTTGCTGAAGATTGGTTGAAAGTCTCGTAGGCAACTGTCCGCAAGTCTATATCTGCCTTTATGCCTTTCCACCGAGTATGACCAAGCTTAAGTGCGCCCAGTCCAATCTCAGCATTGTAGCTGCTGCGGTAGGTATACTTATATCCAGCTGTACGGTTCATTCGCTATGTCTATGTTCATTCTTAGCACTTGTGGTGTCAGATCCATCGACTGGTGTAATTGAGTTTTCATGACATGGTCTGACGGCCTCAATGAATCACATATCACATTGAGAGAAGCTCGACCGTCCGACAGCTACGAGTCGACTCGTGAGCTCTGTTTTCCTTTTTTGTGTACACTTTGGCATCTCGCACTACTCAGTCATTTGTTATGTCTTCGTTACGTACTCACTCTGTCTCAAGAGCTCTTAGAAGCAGTATGTGCCGTCTGCTCATTTATGTTCGGATATGCAGTGACCCCTCAGATGCGACCCCGGATTTCTCGGTTCGGCTAAGGCCACCTACAAGTCGAGCGAGTGGCAGAGGCGACCACAGGTGCCGAGAGTTTGTTTCAGCTAATGGAAAGATTAATCGAAAAGTGAGTGAGTGTTGCGTAATACTCAGTCAAGTCTTTGCACCCCCAACAAACCAATCGACCGACCAGTCAGACAACCACCACTCGCAAGACGGGATGCAACGGGCAAAAGGGAAAAGTTGGGAAAGGGCAGGACTGGGCATTGAGTTTGAGCTCGCCATACACATGCATCCATCCCAGTGGCGAGACAGGACTCCTAAGATACCATGTAACAACTGTCGTCGACCAACACTTGGTAGCAGTCAGTAGCCTTGTAAGCTAGGTCTGTAAAACAAGTGTCAGTCGGAGAAGTGCGGGTGCGCACTTGCGGCCCTCTGCGATGCTCAGACTGGGGGGACAGGCCGATCAATGCAAAAAGTCCAAGAATAGGCATTCGATGTCGGGGAATCCCGCGTTGGTTGGTGCCTGCCTCTCGTGAGGAAAGAGCAGGGAACAGACCGGCGGCACAGTACTAGTGGCGCACAGTGAGTCATCTGGCCGCACTGTCACAGCCTCACGAAGCCGTCGGGTCGGTGGTGGTGTGTCCACGTCGGCGGAGAGGCCCCAGCAGGTTCCACTCTTTTTTCCCTCACCTGCCTCCCCTCATTCTCACCACCCACCCACCGTGCCACCTAATGGGTAAAGTCAAGGCAGGGCACCTCAGCCCGGCCCAGTGCTTGAAGTGCGCTGTGTCCCTGCGGGCAGTGTCTGTGCCCATGGTTTCTTTTGGGTTACGATGTTGCAATAAAATACCCCCAGATGGTGATGCGTGAGGAAACAGTATATAGAGTTAATCTAGGCAAGAGATTTACGAGAAACGAAAGAAGTAGAGAAAAGAAAAACAAGAAACAGCGGCCTTTGGAGTCAAACGAGTGCTGTCAGGACATACCTTAGGTAGGTACACTAAAGTGCCGTCCTTGAGTGCGACGGGAACCTATGACCACTACCTGTACCAGCCCATAGGTGGTTCAGCGCCCAGTGCTCCCCTGCCGCACGCGCACGCTATTCCCTGATTAGGTGCAGCTCCTCTGGAAAATCAACCTCACAACCATCACAGCCGCATCGGTGCCATTTTACACCACCTCGCCTCAGCGCTCCCTTTTTTCTACCTCCCACCTAGAATCCCACGACAATCGGGACGACGACCGGCGACGATTCCCCTTCCCTCGATCGCGACGAGTACCGCGCCGACGATAACCTCGACAACCACCGCAGGCTCGATTATTACCCCGAAACGCCGACCACTCGAGGCAAGCGACCGCCCACCCCAACCTCGCTCCTCCTCCGCAGCGCAGCACGACGTATGATGGCTACTGAAGCCACCCTCGCCCCCGTCGATGCTTCCTCCGAACCCAAGCTCGTGAGTGCTCACCCTCAAAGTCACCCAGCGCTGCCGGTTTAGAGCGCCGAGGGGCGTCGTCTAGAGCTAGGACGGCGACGGACACAATGGAGTTGCGGACGGAGACCACGACGGCAGAGATGCCGGAAGGTCCCCACGTCCCCCCCTCCTAACTCCAACCAACACCCATGCCTCATCACGATGGCTAACTTGCGCAAACAGACCAACGACAGCGGCGCCCACGATGGTCCAAACCGCGCAAAACTGAATGGCAGCCCCGCAGCCTTCGATGACCTCGAGAACAAGCACATCACCGGTGTCGAAGAGGCCATCTCAGCAGATGTCAGCGTGAGTGGGGGCTCAGATACGGAAGCATCGAGGGCTCGAGATGGAGAAAAGGGCCACGGAAGGACGTCATCAGCCGTCAAGAAACCCGCGACCTTTAAGGCTGTGTCTGTCAACAAGACCTTTCTTGCCGCGAAAGGCGCCGCTGCCGCCGCCGCCGGTAGTACCGCTTCGAAACCCGCCGACAAGAGCTCCGCAAGTCTGTTGAGCTCTTCCCCCTCTGGCACCTCTACCCTTTCGTCGCGACCCCGACTTATTGCAAAGTCGGGCAGCGGCACTGGCAACGTTCCGCGACTTTCGGCAGCCAACGGTACCAACGCATCCGGCCCGGACCCCAGCGCAGTATGGAACAAAAATCGACGTAAGGCTGTCGGGAAATCGTGGAGGCTTTGGTCTTTGCTAATCTTTATCCCCAGCTGCTCCGCCTCCGGAGCCCAAGAAATTCACAGATGAGGAACTTAAGAAGTATGGCATCCACATGGCGAATCGATTGGCCCCGGAAAGCGCACAGGCGCAAGGTAATTGGGCGGACATTGAGGACGATGATGACGACTGGGCGCCCGAGACCATCACCTGGACCGACGGTACCAAGACAACATTGCCGCACCCTGATGAGACTCCCGCTCCGCCTCCTGAACCGACTCCGGCGCCCGCGCCAGCTCCTCCAAAAGAGAAACCGATCGAGAAACCGAAGTCGCCCGCGCCTCCACGCAACGCCCCGTCCCCGTCCATGAAACCCGGTGTTCTTGCCTCTGGAAAGGGTCTGATTCTCAAGGGCGGTTCAGCCGACAAACCAACGCTTGTCGCAAAGCCACCTGCTCCCCCAACACCCGTCAAGTCGCCATGGGCGCCTCTTCCACCCGTTGAAAAAGCGCCTCCCATCGTCGCGGAGCCCCCGCCTCAAGCAGGACACAGATTCGCCCCCAGAGATCAGCCAGGCCGCAACAACACGCCGCCGCCGTATGCGAGAGAAATCGCCGCCGACGACTTCAATCGGTCTGCGTGGAGAGAAGGGCCTGGTGGCGGAAACCGGGAGCTTTTCAACTCCCAGTCTGGTCGTTATGAACCAGTCAATGACCGAAGGGGATCGTTCCGGTCTGATGCCAGACAGCCTCCCGTTCTGCAACGCCCCTCCCACTCTGATCATCCTGAGCCTTCTGCGGCTTTCCAAACTAGCAGGACAACGATGCCCGATGGCCCCTTTGGTCGACGCCGCGGATCGTCGAACGTCAGTGGCGGAAGCGGTTCCTACATGCAGAGACCTGGCAAGCACGAAATGCCTCTGCCTCCTCAAGATCTGCTCAATGCGCGCAGAGGTTCTATTACAGGCTCGATCGATAGCCCCGTCTCGCCGCGGAACTTCTCCCCCTCAGGCCTTCAGCATGGCCCCCGGATGCACTCGAACCAGCAGTGGCAGCCCCGCGCTTCCCCGGGTACCAACTACGCCAGTCTTCACTCAGCTGGACCACCCGAGGGACGTCCGGTTCAGCCGCCACCAATGGCTCGTCTCGAAGAGGATCTGGAATTGCAAAAGAAGATTATGCGCGAGAAGCGTGAGCTGGCCATGCAACGAAGACGTGAAGAGGAGGCACGTGAGGAGGCTGCGAGGAAGGAGCGCATCAAGGCCAAGCTGGATGCCATGGGACCGCCACCGGAACGCAAGAGTGCCAAGAAGGACTCTCCAGAGAGCGCAAGTGCCACCATTCAGCCCCCGGCTCAGCAAGGCGACGGCTCCGCTGGTCCAGACACCGTATCGCAGTCTAGAGAGTCTGCGGCAAGCTCTGGCCCGTCGACCGTACCTACAACCGTGACGAGCGCCAGCGAAAGACCTACGACTGGCGACCCCGAACATCGAAGACCTGGACATGACGCAAGACAGCCGAATCTGTGGGACGCGCAAACTCCAAAGCAACCCGACCGCCTGCCGACCTGGGGGTCTGCTGGGCAGCAGGCGAAGAACGTATGGGGATCTCCTAACAATGATCGTGGTCTAGGAAATGGCACATTCAACACTGACATTGGACGCCTTCCTGAGTCACAAGCTGGCCAGCTGCCTCCGACCCAAGCTAGGCAAGGCCCCGCCCCCATTGCGCCGCCCAGCGCACAGCGCGCCCAGAACCAGCCTCCTCCGACAACTCAGCCTCGCCCGGCTCCCGGACCCAATCGTGACTTGAACGAGATGCGGAACAGATGGGCCAACTCGGTGTTGGATGGCGATAAATCACTTCTTGACGAGCGGAGAACTCAGCGTCTGGAGCGTGACCGTCAGCTCAACGAGCGAGGTCTCACTATTGAACAGGCCCAACCCGCAATCAAGGATACTTGGAGACCTTCCGGAGAGGGCAGGCGTGAGCCCTCTCATGTGGTTCATCACGATGTTGCAGCCGGTTCGATTCTGCCTCCCACTGGACCAGCCGCATCTCAGGCACGGCCATCCCGGTTCTTTCCCCCCAAGGATAGCAGAAATGACGTTTCAAACCATCCTGCTGAGCGATCCAGACCTAACTCGCCCTCGCCCCCGCCGCCGGAGGTGTACGGTCATCCTGCTTTCGATGGCGACGCTTCGCATCCCCATGTCTCCCTTCCCCGCCCAAGATACGTAGTAAAGCTGCCGCCTTCGGCAGTCGCGGAACCTACTGCAGCCAGGTCCAGCGGATCATTTGCTTGGGCGAGCCCTGCCGGCTACAAGGAACCCAATGTTTACACGCGCGGTGCCTACCAGCAGAACAATGCCTCGCGACAGCAAGAGCACGAAAACTGGCAGGATCGAATCAATAACCTTCTTACCGGCCGCAAGCCGAACTCACCGCCCAGAGCCCCCGGTGTCGAGCCTGTTAGTAAGAGCGCTCTCGAGTATACAGGGTATTACAACCCCGCAGCAACCGTGTCGCTGCCGCGCTCAGTTATTCAAAACCTTACAGACGACATCAAGTCTTTCACAACGAAGCCGATGGCGGAGGAATGCTTTGAGGAGCAGGAAATGGGATCTCTGCCTCAAATCAAGCTCCCGCATAAGACGCCCGATGCCGCGTGGCACCCTGCCTCTGCTCCGGCCAAGCCCTTGCCTAGGCGCTTCTGGGTGTCGGATGCTGAACCGACGATCCGAGCTCTGTGGTTCCCCCACGACATGTCATCTGTTGGCAGCGTCTATCGCGTTCAGCTCCCCGGCATGAGCGAAGCAAAGACGATTCCTTTGCCCTTCTCCCGATCAGCCAGCAACACACGACGCTCGGGTGGACGAGGCGGTCAAAGAGGATCCGGACCCAGCCGAGGCGGCAAGGGCCGCGAGTCCTCGTACTCTGAGGCAAGCACCTCGACGCCGCCCCCTAGCCGCAGCCGCGGCGGCTACCGCGGGCGTGGAGGTGAAACCTGGTCTCGGCGTAGCCCTGCTAGCCAAACGGCATAAACTTGCACTTTTATCACAACTGGCCGCCACCTTTCTGGAGGCAACACACCGACGACTGTACGTACGCATGCCCGAATAAGCAGTGTACAATTTCGAAACCTTTGATTATGATGCTCCACCGGAACGACGTAAGCACCGGAACGCACGCGAACAACTAGGGTTGGGAGGAAGCGAGAGCAAACTCTTTCTGCGCAAACTTTTTTCTTCTTCTTTACAAAAACCACACGAGCAAGCTTCGTACATCACGCTCTCCCCGACCATGGAATCGAACAACACTCCGGAGCCTGAAACCACCCCCGCGCCTTGCTCTTCGACGCTGATGGAACCTCTTGTTTGATCAAGGTCTCCCGGCTATTTTAAGTACAACCATATTTACATACGCAACGACGAATCGGAGAGAGGGGCGGAAAGACGGACGGCGGCTGGGGTTGGGAGAACCGGGAGGGAAAAAACGCGGTCTTTTACTACAAACCAACCTACCTGACTGATACTAAACTTGGGGGTGGAGGTGTACGGGATGGAAACATCGGGACGGGGGAGAAGCCTACGGTGTCCCTTTGATAATTGCAGTTCAGAAAATACACAAACAAAGGATGAAAAGACAGTGGCTTTGCTGTTAGAGATTGCGGTTACTTTGATGGGTGACATGTTGTGATGTGTGATATGATCCAGTTGTTGTCTAGAAGGATGGTCAAACTTGAAGACAACAATCACGAAACTACTCTAGTCTCATTTCGACGTGCTCCGAAGGCGTTGGACGCGAGACTGGATATCTTAAAGTAGACTACTGAAATACTCTTTGCATATAAAGGCCCGGCACAGATCAGCTTTCTTCTCTTTTCCTAGGCACCGACAATCGGCAGGGGCGGTGGGCGCTACGGATACGAGATGGTAACTTTTCCCTGCAAGTTGTGTCGTCATTTCGGCCAAGGAAGGACAAACCAACGTCTGCAAGAAATGCTATGGGGGGCAACGCTGCTTACTTATTCGTGCAGAACGATCTTGAGAGGGCAGAGGCGACGAACGATGATGGATCGATTTGGGTGTAGACGGACGGGCTTGCTGCTCTTGAGAGTCGACAATTTGATGCCGATGACCTTCTCAGTTGACAAGATTGAATCCTGGTGACAGCGACAACATGCACGAACAATTGCTGTAGGAAAGGAGAGGCAAGATTTCTGGGTTGGGTTTTTCAAAGTGATATATGGTACGCGCCGTGGATCTTGGCTGATTGAATGCTGCTTGCTTATAAAAGCCCGGCTCAAATCTTTTCGTTCTTTTGAACCACCGACAATCGGCAGGAGCGGGGGGCGGACGAAGAATATTCGATGCTCGATGAGGCTTGCTCGTTGTAAGTTTTGTTGTGACCGTGGCCAGCAGCAAGTCGATGTCTGTAAGAGTCAACATGGGCAGTGCTATCTGTCTATTTGTGAGTAATACTCGTAAGGAGCCAGGAAGTGATGTATAACGATGGCTGGATAAGGATTCCGGGGACAAAGTTGGGCTTGTAGCCGGTGTGAATCGAGAACTTGACGCAGATGAGCTAATTAGCACTGGGTCAGAGGCTCGCGTAAGCTGCCTCGCTGCTCCGCGGAACTATTTGGTGTCTGCTTTTGTGGAAGAGGAAGTCGTATGGGACTGGGCTTTTATAGATGAGATTCGGGTCATGAAGGCGATCTTGAAAGTGCTGATTCCACGTTCTCAGTGCACTGGTTGAGGGGACGGATGTTTCTGAAGAGGCGTGAGAGTGAAAGATATTTGCGCCCAAAGGGATAATGTGACGGAATTCCTACCCTACAGCATCGAGAGGCTGTTGGTAGAAGTAGGCGCGGTGTTTGCTTCGTTGGATGTGAAGACGGCAGATTGTTAGGAATCGTAATCTTCACTCGCCGTCATAAAGTCCAGGAGAGTAGAGTGTGCAACTTCTTTCGAGGTGTTGTCACCTCCGCAGAGGCGTAGCCGCAGTGGACCAACACGCACTTTCCGTGCGGAAACTGTACTGAAATACCCTGCGTATCAAAGTTGAATATGCAGAAAGCAAGAGACATGAGGAGAGACTAGGTAAAATCAGGCGTACCGCCGAGGAGTGGGAGACGTTGCCTGGGATTGCAACTTCCGAAATGGTTTGAGAGTATTCTGGCTAAAAATTGCCTTTGTCTGTCAAATCATGGACGCAGAAGCCGGACATTGGCTGCTGAGAGAAACAGGTCTCGTTCCCCCGAGCGAGCTTTTATGCTATTCATTTTCTGCGTGTTGAGTAACTCGATTCGGCTTCGTGGTAAGGTCTTGTATATCGCAGAGAATTAGACACGATGGGGAAGAGCAGCAAAGTCGCTTCCAGATGGCGTCGGTGTGGTGGTGTGGGATCGGCCGAGCACTCAGGTGCTGTCCACTAGAGAAAGTACACACGGTAAGTGCGTTTCCTCGACTTACTTCCCCACGCAGTTGAGCGTTATTCCAAAGGGAACATGTGACAGAAACTGACGGCCAGAAAAGATAGATGGCTAGCTGGGATAAGTTTGAGCCTTGGCTGATGATCTGGTATGAACTTCGCGGCTCTTCTGTGTCCCAGTGGGCAACGCTTCCAAAAGGCTTCGTTTACAAAAATTGCGTTGTTGTATGATGTCATTTCAATTGCTGTTTACAATTTATAGCTGCTCGTACATACAGGGATCAAATCAGTCACCAGCTATTCTAAAAAAGAGACATTTGGATATGTTCTTCATCAACCTTGAACAGTGATCTTCTTGCTTTGGCGTGAGTGGAGTCGATGTAGCTTCCAACTGCTTCTCAGTGTGTGGTCCTCAGTAGTTGAAGTATCAGAAACTTGACGCGTGCTTGATATACAGTTCTTGCTATTGAGTCATCTTGTTGTCATCAGATGCTGTTAGGCTTTTTTTTTTTTTTCTTGGAATCTGTGATGCACGCAATACCTTCACGATGGGTGCGACCAATAGAAAACTCGAAGCTAGATGAGTACCACAAACTGGAAACAAGTTCTCCGAGATCGCACAACATTTTGTCAGATGGCTCAACCCATCGGTTAGTTGTTTTGATGGGAAGACAGGGCGTCGAACCTTCTTATGTTGCGCATTCGGCTCGTAGCCATGAAGAAAACTAAGAGTCGAGTCATGTATATATTATTCAACTATGACCTAAAGCAGAGATCCTACGGGACAATAGGGAGTTTCTCGAAACTGTTCTCAGCACCTAGAGCTACAGTTCCAAGATATGCCAAACCACGCCCGGTCTATGACACATGACTCTAGAAGAATTGCTTGCCTGTTTTCGGTAAACGGCACCTGGGCATGATAGGCGAAGGAAGATGAGAAGGAATGCCAGACATGAAGGAGAAAGAATTACAAGCTAATATTGCATTGGATTGTCTCTGCCTGATCCATGTTGATTTATTCACTGTTGACAAGATGACAGTACCTCAGTGTATGGGGGCACCGCGAAGTGAAAACCCAAAAGACCTACCTGTTTTCGGGTTTGTGACAAGCTGGTTGCAGAGAACCTAAGCAGGAAAAACCGTAAATACGATGGTTACGAAGATATCCAGACGCCAATAATACAAATGGCCGAAGCTATCATTCAAGCCCTAACTGGATACAACCAGGCTGTAAATCGACGTCAATTTCATCAGGATCGACTCTCTAAGTTTATCTCTAATTCTACTCATCGCCCAAAACATCGAATGGGTTGGATGACCTCTTCTTCTCCGGCAACGCTTGAGGCTCAGTCTCAGCCATCTTCTTTCTCTTCTTCTTCCTGTTCTTTGCCTCTTTCGCAGGAAGTAAATCACTTTCGGGTATCTCGAGTGCTTCTGCAAGCTTGGCTAGGTTCCCTTTGCCAAGCAAGGCCAGAGTTACGTCTACTGTTGGCCATTCCGTCAGAGAGGGCAGTGATCTCAGAAGATCGCGGAGCTTATCAAGGCCCTTGGGCACCTTCGCGGGTTTAACGACATCCAGAAGGACCAAGACTTGGGAAAGGAGACGAAAGGAGTATAGCATGGCCTGGACCTGCGCTGACAGGTGAACGACATCCCAGGGGATGAGACCAGAGCCTGCTTCCACTGACAGTGCTTGCTTGACTGCTCCGACGCATACATCGTACTTGCCGTCCACCTTGGAGCAAGCCAGGACCTGTTGAAGAGCCACGGTCTGCCAAAGTGACTCGGTCTCCCCTAGACAATCCTTGACTTGGCTCAGAGTGTCATAAAGAAAATCGGTGTAGTCTTTGATAGATGTCCGAGGAAGGATGATGATATTCTTCCCTTGATTCATCCCGTTATACACTCTTCTGTACTCTCGAACAGGGGGCGACGCTCCTGGTTTCAGCAGGGAAGCCAGACTATACGCCAACTGCCGGACAGAAGCGCTGCTGTCCCATGCGCTTGCACGAGCAGGACAGTCTAGGAGTGGCGGAAGGCACATCATGCACCCTTCTGCACCCTTCTCCTCAGATGAGGCAGCGGAGGCCCCTGAGTAGCCAACGAATTGCAATACGATCTCTGACAGCCTTGCATCGAGCTTGGGATTCTTCAGGCTTCCGAGTACGGGGACCGCGCTCCAATCCGTTGTATTCAGGGCTTCATATGGCTTACAGAAGCTGTGGAAGTCTTCCGGATCAGCGACATCTCCCTTGCAGCTCTCGAGGACTTGTGAGAACTTGGGCCTGCTGGACTTGGAAAGTTCGTATCCAAACCGCCGCATGCCTTGTCCCTCGGGCAGCTTCAACCGCTTCTCCACGTCCGAGGGACAGAACTTCAATGCGAGGAGGCCATCCTTTCCATCTGCAGAGCCTATGTGGAGGTCCTTGAAAAAGACAACAGCCCCTTCGTTGAGGTCGTGTATTGTGAGGTCAGAGTCGGAGGTTACGATCGTTCCTCCGTTCTTCAGGACATCGTCTGCACAGTAAGCGTCCGCCTCGCCCGGTACCAGACGCACCAAGTCCGCATACTTGTCAGTTTGGCTGAGCTTGTCGACCACGGCAGCGAC